AGAGACTGGCGGTGGCTCCATTGGGAGCGTGCAGATCCCAGGACAGTATTTCGGCAAAGCCCGCACAAAGGAATCCCCTGTCCAACCCCCTGAACCGCCAATGGGCGGGACGGAGGGGAGCGCACAGCCGTCCGCGATGGATGTGGATAGAGAGGGGAGTAAGGGCGATGAGAAGAAGAACAAAGCGACCAAAGAGGCTGCTGTAGCGTCAAAGAGCGCAAAGCCGCATCCGGCGAAAGCGTCGCGTCCTGAGGCCCTAAGCGGCTTGTTGGATGTGACACTGATCAGCGATGTACGGGAGCGTGATCGGGATATTTCCGATGACGAGTATTCCCCTACGAATGTGTGCATGTTTCCAGACTCATGGGAGGGCGCAATGCCGACCTCCGTAACTGGAAAGCCCGGAGGCTTTGAGCAGTTCAGAAACGAGCTCATGAGGATCCAGAGAATCCTGGATTCTCCGGCGTTGGTCGACCTTGGTAAGGTCGATCTGGACGCTCTGGGCGAGCCGCCCAGGGAGTACGTCTCGGATGAGGATCACGAGGGTCACGTAGATGATGATGGGATGGGCCCATATGTGGACAAGTTCTCATCAATGGGCGACCGCGACCTAGTGCCCTCAAGGCAGGAGCCGCCCTACTATGAGGCAAAGGCGTGGCGCACCACAGAAGAGGAAATTGAGAGGATGAAGAACCTATTTCCATACGTTCGTGCCGAAAATTATCGGCTTATGTCAGCGGGGACTGGTCCCATAGGTGCCAAAGCGCACGAAAAGGGCGTCCTCCCTGCTGGTGCGTCGCTAGAGGATGCACTGATGGCAAAGCCCGATGTGTGCCCGATTCCGAGCACCTACAACCTCACATACGAGGGTGAAGAGGTTGTGTTTGATGCACAGAGCGGGACAGCAGGCAGAATCGCCTGTCCTGCCGGTAACGACATCTTCCATTTTTTCCCCGAGATTAAGGATACGTCGGCGATGCTTGGGCGAAGCTCCAGGGAGTCGCAAATGCTGCTAGAAATTTTGTCGGGCAACACTGACCCAACGCGGTTGAACGTGAAGCCCGGTGAGCCGGCTCCCAGCTTGTGTGGGACGGTTCCAGACATTCTGGGAGGTTGGATGTCAATGACTCTAATCTCAACGCTCTTTGAGGCCCTATACGGGATCCATAAGTGCACGAGCGACATGGGCGGGTTCTCTCGCGAAGGAGAGCCCAGCGTACCCTCCAGTCGAGCTCCTAATACGGACAGTCTGGAGGGGAGATGGCTCGACTGTGCGCCCGAATGAGGTGCTTTTTGCGCGTTCCACCCTAATCGGGAGGGACGTGCCGTTCAAAGTTTTCAAGCGTTGGGCACTGCGTGACCGAGCGCCTATGGGGCCTTTGCTTAGGCCGTTGGGAGCAGCGGAGGTCCCTTGCACGGGATACGTGCTGCTGACGATGGCCGAGTATTGGTCCGCCCTCAAAACGAGGTGCATTCGGAGGCCCGGCAAATTCGCCATCACAGTTTTCCCCATGCGACCTGAGCAGGTCTGCAGGGGGGAGATCATGATTGGGTTGGAGGGCGCAAAGGTGCCTCTCCTCAAGTTGCCAAGCCCCAATAATGAGGGCGAATTTTATGTTGATGATCGCGTCAAATACATGGACAAGCGCCATGTCGTTGTGGCCGTTGACCTAAAGTGGATGGCCATCGAGGAAGCCGCCGGCATCTATAAAACCCGACGCGGTTTGATTGCTGTGCGAGAGGAGATACATGCGCCCTTCTGGCGCGCATGTTATCTGCACCAGGAAGGGGATGTAATATACATCCGTCCCTGGGCGGTCCGAGAATTGAATGTCCAGGGACCGCGGAGAGGGGTGTCATTTTCATGGGACAAAGCTCCCATGCATGACTATTGGTGCCCTCGGTGCGCGCATTTGAATATGTATGGCACCATTCTATGCAATGGTTGCCATTTGCCGATTTTCTATCGAGAATGGGTGCCAGGCACCATCCGCTCCCAAGTTAGGAGAGGGCAGCCAGTTTGGCTGGACGGACTCAAGGCAGTCCGTGCCAACAGCTGGTATGAAGGGGAGACTGACGTGTGGGCTCCTCTCATGGCGTCGGTAAACCCGATCCGCGAGGTGGTCAGCTGTATGATCTCCGGTTTGCGCTGTGCGCCTCATCTTGTGCACAATCCCAATGCGGATACCGTGCAGGTTGCGTTTCAGGAGGTTGTGAAAGTCACCTCAAGGGACACTCACGCTTGTGTGCGTGCAAGTGACGAGGCCCTCGAGCGGTGGGTAGCAAAACAGCTGCTCATCGAGGAGAGCAATACTGGCGTCCCAATTCCCGACAATATGTCTGTCATGACATATTTGGTCGAGCACCCGCAACAGGCGGCGCAATGGGGTCGTCATATGACGAGAAAGGGCAGTCTAAATTCAGCATTTGCTCTTTACCTCTCTGTGCATATTTTTGATGCCTACCGCATCGGAATTGAGGACGGATATTTGGTTCCGCTGTATGGCCTAGGCGCCTCACGTGCGGACATTATAATGTCATTGGTACAGGCTGAGCGACGCCTCTCGGACTTCAATAGTGAGGACCCAAGTTTTGATGCCTCCACAGTTCTCGATTTGAGTATCGACTCTCTGCGGGCCGGTGGTGGATCCATCACGGCCCCGATTGAGTATGCTGAGGCATACATTTATGTCGAAAACAACAAGGTTGAAATGGTCTCCGCGGCACGGCGAGACGGCCAAAGCGCCATCGTTTTCGCTGACCCGCCGTCTGGGAAGCACCATAGGCGGGCAGCCACACCTAGGGGAGATCATCGGTCTGCTACCCCGCGACCTGATTTCAGGGCAAAGGGGGATCAGCAAAAGGGCAAAGCCCCTGCGCACTCCTGGCCCAAGGGTGGAGGTCACAAGGGTGACCAGTCCTCCGGCAAGGGTCACAAAGGTGACCAATTTACAGGAAAGGGTCACAAGGGTGACCAGTACAAAGGCAAGGGTGGCCAATACGGCTACCAACAAGGGCAGTTCGGTCGTGGCGGATCCGCCAGATCGAGAACTCCCACTGGCGGGTATCAGCCTGATGCTCGCGAGTCGGGCTACAGGGGCGCACAGGCTGCTCCTTTCCCGTTCCCAAGTCCGATGTATCCCAATTTCCCGATGGGAGGATACATGCAACAGCCCATGGTTGGCATGATGCCGCAAATGTGGCCCGGCGCAATGCCGCAGGGTTGGCAGCCGCATATGCAGGGTGATCCCCGTGAGTTCGAGAATCCGAACTCGCCGCATACCCCTACCTGGGGTGACGATGACGAGTTGGCCGAGACAGTGCCTCCTCCCCCTGGGGACTGGAATGTCAACAAGGGGAAGGGACGGCACGGCGGCGGACGACATCAGTAATACCTGAAGTCTGTCTGTGTGTTTTGCATGGCTGCGCCAACGCGCGCATGCTTTCATTTCGGAATTCACAGGATGGACTATGCTCCTTGTCGTATTTCGTTGTCTGGGCTATTCGCCATTTCAGAATTCATCTGCATGCGTGGCTGTGCGCTATTCGCGCAAGCTGCGATTACCTGTCAGGTGTGCGTCGCCACAGCAAGGCAGTCACCCTCGGCGGCGTCTATGGCCGCTGGTGATCTGCATCCTCCTGCACCGCTGCTGCTGCTGGTGATGGAGCTCATCAAGGTGCCGAGGTGAGGATCACGGATGCCCCGCACCGCTGCCGGTGAGGTCCTACTCGGACCTGAACCGCCGAATGCCGCTGGCGGTATCCCTGGAGGTTGTCTTCGAGTGATCGCGCGCCTAGACGGTGCCGTTCAAGGCCGAGATATTTCAGTCTATGCACCACGTTTCAACCAGCAAGCCAATGCGCTTTTGACAATATAATTCAAGCCCTAAATCCACGTGAATCTAATGATTCAATGTGGTTGCATCGCAGATATTTCATGCCTGCCATCTTGGAGTTGAATCTTTGTTTCTTTCCTTCTTTTGCTTCTCTTGGTTGATTTGGCTACCGGCGTGATCCGCCCCATACCCGTAATTCGGGGTGGTGGCGGGATCCGGGCTCCAAAGCGAGCCCGGGTATGGGGTCGCGAACCCTGGTAGTCTAATCGTCTTTGTTCCTTTTTGGTGCTATTCAACTTCAAATGGCCAATGCGCCTTTCCAAATTCACTCCTTCTCTTTGTACAGTCGAGGGGGGTGTTTTTGGGGGCATGTACTTTTATCATAGAGTATTTCATTTCCTGCATTTGGCCAATGCGCCATTTGGCTCAAGCTTTTCACTCGGCAACCTCGCTCGCCATCTCGTCGGAAAGAGCCGCGGCGCGCCTCGACATCGGCCTCGTGTTCGCGCGGCCGCTGTCCCTGGTGCGGTGGTCTTGGTCCCGGAGGTGGGTCGGGTTTTGGTTGGAGTGCGCTGCTATTGCTCGCTCTGCTCGCTTGGTGCTGCTTGCCGCTGGTTTGCTTGCTTGCCCTGCGCTCTGCTGCGCTGCTGCTTGGTTCCTTCTTGTTACAAACGAGGCACCCCTTTTGGTTCGTGTTTGTGCCGGCCGGGGGCAACTGCTTTGCCCTTGGGACCGGGGGGATAAGGTGGTCTCTTCTTGTTGGTGGGTTAGGGCCTGTTTTATCCATCCCGAAACTCTGTTTCAAACCCTTTCGCAAAAAGGAATCGCAGGCCCAAAGGGTTGGTTTGCTTTTGGATTGCCTTCAAAAACCAATCAAAGAAGGGTTTCCGCGAAAAAGCCACGCCCACTTCGGGGACATGGATAATGATTACTAAGTTACTCACGGACAGTCCCAATCATGCGGGCGTCCCTTTAGTCCCCATGGGTTTCAAAGGACCCCGTGACGCAAGGGTTGAAATTCCAAGCCACATCTTAGTTACAAAGTGTAGTCGTGCGAAATGGCCCTATTTTTAGATGCTTATTGCAAACGAAAACAGCTCATTTTTTTAAATGTTTATGGTTGGGCAGTTGTGTTAGCACTTCGGGCCTTAGAGTTGGATCCAGGTCGCCCGCAACGGCAAGCTCTACAACCGGAACTTTTGGTTGGCCAACGGCAGCACCGCCCCAAGTGGCTGGGTTCTGTGGCTGCCCACCAAAACAACATAAAACAACCCCAACAGGTCTGAATCAAACCAAAATATGTTGCAATGTGCCGTACTAATGGATTTTCAGTTATCATCCTTCGTCCCTTGTCCCCTGAGAGCAGTATGTCAAGGCAGTCCTTTACCGGATACGCCTCTCCTGTAAAACGGACGCAAAAACAAGACACACACACACACACGCCGACATACCCACATGTGTGCTGCTCTGTTTTTCTGAGGCTGAACTGTGTTTTATTTGTTCAGCTTAGCATTTCCAAGTATAGGGAGTGCTGGCTTGATGATTCAGCCTGTCTAGTTAAAGCACTCCCAAATCACAACAGCATGGAGGGTCTGGGACTGAGCTAGTTACTTGGTAACCATGGGGTTTTCTGATCTTGAACTGAGGGGTTGCCTGTGTTGGGCGGTGACTGCCTGTACTTTTGTCGTCGGAACCTCACCAAAACACTTCAGGAATCGGCCCCAAAACAAGACTTCGGATTGACCCCATAGCTGACGCTCGGGAAGCCGCTACTCTACCGAGAGGTGAGGGTGTCTTTTGTTTGGAACCCAAAAATGGATTTGGCTTTCCGGTTGCTTTGCCGTTAGAGAATGGGCATGCCAACTCTAAAAAAGACGGGCCCAGTTGGCTGCATCGATGGAGGCTTCCAAAAAACGCTTCTCCGAGGCCTACGCACCAATGGCCGCTTCAGCTCCGGCATTGCAGCGCCCTCGACGAGACAAGCGAAATTACAGCTCTTAGAGATGTGGGGGGGTGGTGTGGGGGTGGTGTGGGCGTTCTCAACATGGCCACAACGGCAAAATGCCCGACATGGTTGTTGCAGAACGTGCACAACTGCATTGGTGTTCAAGCCCGCCATTTGCCAAGACGCAGGGCGCAGTGCAGGGGTTGAGTGCCACTGCTAGTACTGCAGGCCGTCGAGTCATTTGGACAGACACACAAGGTTGTGTGGTAAAATTGCTATGCGTTCGAGTCATTTGTGGGTCCTGCTGATACAAACCCTCTGCATAACTGTTCGATTGCGGGAAGTAAACTTTCTCGCTCCCCCCTTTTGTGTAGTGATACTCCAGCTGCAAGCTGCCTCAAGTTAACGCTCTCCGAGCACGCAGCTCCAGACAAGCAATTTGCGCGTCTGAGTCAACTCAATTTCTCTTTGGACTTGGCGCTAACTAACCAAACCCGGGAACCAGATCATGCCAAAACTGGCTCTGAGAAAAGCTTTCGCCGCCTTGTAGCGACTATGTAGCGACTAAGGAGCCGAGCCACTCTGCCGCGCTTTATAGCTAGCCCGCAACATCGCTGGCGACCGATACGAGCTGGCAAATGAGTGGGTTGTCTCTTTGAGGAGTAATCTCATGTCACTGACAATTTCGATCACCTTTTGGCCATCTGGCCATCATCCGCTGTTCCTGCGTCAACATGCTCGACATGTCGGGCTGGTTGCGACCAACCAGACACGCAAAGCAGCGCCACCTGGCAAGCAGCGCTGGAGTTCTAGCAGGGTATGCCCAGATTGCCTGCCCTTCAAACCTCCTGCCCAAAGAGGTTTTGGCCCGGGAGCATTTTCGTCTGACCGTTGGGAAAATCGGAAAAACATGGGGGGTCCCAGCGGGCCTCATCGACATCGACTTCTCCGCCGATCAACCGGTTGGGGCGGGTATGGGTTCGGGTTCCGCAAGGGTTCAAAACACCGCCTAACCTTTTTCACCCAACCCAACCTGAAACCGACGCAGACACGCGCGACCCATCCCCAACACATGACTAGAAAGGCAACCCGCACAAAACCTGTCTCAACACATCCCCGAAACAAGCCCAAACAAAAAAGTGATCTCCAAGACCCCTAAGAAATCCCCGAAAACCACTTCTAAAAAAGACAGCCGCCAAGACATCTTCCGGAAAACGCCCCAAAGACCTCAAGACATCCCACAAGACATCCCCGAAGTCACGGAGCGCTGCGGGGTCGCTGCGGGGGTGGTGTGGGGGTGGGGACTGTGCGGCGTGGGAGCGGTGTGGGGGTGTGGGGATGTTCTGCTTGCTTGGATGGACTCGATTAAGTCACAAAGTCGCTCGGAAAAAAAATGACAACGCACTCTAGCGACAATCGTCTCCCTGTTTTTGCGGGTAGGCCGATGTGAAATAAGCGACGCTTGAAAGTGGTACCAGAGGTAGGGCTTGAGACTTGCCAGGTCTCGAAGCTTTGGGGAACAAGGCAACGCGTTGCTTGTGGTTGTCATGTTCAAATCCCAGTTACGAGTCCGAGTAATGGTCCTCCGGGCTGTCACTGGAACTTGGTGGGGCTGTGGCCTGAAACTGATTCTCTGTAGATAAGCCGACCTCAAAGGGGGTACCCGCAGACTTGCTGCTTCCACGGCTGAAGCGACTACTTAACTGTGGGCACACGTGGTTCTCTACTTGCGCATGAGCGCGATGCACTTTTTGAAGTTTGGAACATTTTGACATGTTGCGGCAGCTGCCAATGGAGTGTTGATGATCATCACGTTAGTTGCGTCTACGGAATTGAATTGTAAAGACACTTGGCTCCGAAATCGGAAAGGAACACCCTGGACAATTGCAAAAAAACTCGAGAGCTCAAACCCACATGACCTCAAGGACCTGCGGCAGTCGGCGGCTCAGATGCTCAACTACCGTGACACCCCGGAGCAGAGTTGTTATTCCATGAATCATATGGTTCCGAGACTGGGGAGTGGCGTGCTAGACCGGCTGCGGTTCAAAAAAAAAAAAAGAGGAAGGGGGTTCGAACATTCAACCCAACCCAACCAAATGTTCCTCAAATTCATATAGGTGTTTTATTTCCCAGAAAGGAAGGCTGTGAGCGATGGGCTTTTGCATAGACCTGTTCTTGCCGGGTCGCAACGGAAAACAAGCAAACAAACGTGCTGGAACAATGTCGAGGAGCCGCAACGCCTCAGAACCAAAACCGGAAAAACCCTCGAGAATTCGAAGCAAACAAAAACAACAAATTTGCCATGATCAAGGTGACCCAGGCCCCAACATTCTCTTGGCAAAGTCGAGTTTGTGTTGCTTTCCCGATTGTTCGACGTGTGTGTTTCCAGTTTTGAAGTTGTTCGGCATGCGTCTATAACATGAGTGACAGGTTCAAATATATATATATATATACACACTAAAACGCATGTTTGTTTTTTTGGAACCCTGAGAATACCTAAATTACTATTATGCTGTTGTATTAGTTGTGTTAGACATATTTTGGGCACATGCTTTATGCAAGCTAGACGTGTTCTAGAATTTTGCTGGGCATAACGAAAACAATTCAACGATGCACTGTCTCCCTAAACCTGTCAATATTGGCAGCATCATACCAGTCATATATTTTATACTACTCACTAGGCGTTTACTAGAAACTTGCAGGTCTATTCTGGAAGTTTACCTGGAATATGTGGCAGATTGCCCAAATGTTTGTATACTCATTTCTTAAGCATATTTAGATTTTCTTTGACGGTGTCCAATGTATGCCTAGCACAAGCCTAAACTTGTTTCTATATTGTGGTTGACATGTTTTCAAGTGCATGTAGGTGCTGTACTTTGGATTGCGCGCTCTAGGCGAGCTGCATCCTGATGCCCCGCTCTACTACCACTACTGCTGCTGCTGCTGCTACTACTACTACTGCTATTGCCACTTCTTCCACTACGACTGCTACTTCTACTGCTACTGTTGCCGCTGCTCCTCCTACTTCTAGCAAACTACTACTACATTGCTACATTGCTACGTTACTACAGTACTACATTACTACATTGCTACTATACTACTATTACTGCTACTACTACTACTACTACTACTACTACTACTACTACTACTACCACTACTACCACGACCACCGCCACCACTACTACTACCATCACCACCACCACCACCACCACCACCACCACCACCACCACCTACTACTACTACTGCTGCTAGGAACCCGATTAGCAGGGTTTACAGGAAACTGACGGACAGCCACCCATTCTGGTGGATCCCTTTGCCATGGTCAAAAGATGGGGTGGGAGTGGTCATCAAGTTTTTCGTTTTGTGTTTTGCTAGCCAATGCGAAGGTGTCAATTCATTATGGAAGCCGTGACCATAGCCGTTTTGCAGAGTCCTGGCCATGGCACACATAGTGAATGTGCCCTTTTTTGTAATGGTTGCAGGGACCGCACAGAGGGACGCCCATTTTGGAGGCCACCTGCATTCAATGTGATAGGCGCTTGTCAGATGCCTGAAATGTTTAGACTCGTCACATGGCCTTTCTCACGTCCGCTTCTTATTTGTTTTGGTGTCCAATTTGTTTGCCACGTTTTCTTAGCCAGTTTGGCAAACTCAAACACGGCTGCCAACCAATCGATTAGGAGAGTGCATGGACATGTCCCAGTGATGATTGCTTCAGGCTGTCATTGTGTTCCATTCTTTTCAGATGTGTGCATAGCAAGGGCAGTTGGTGTAGGACAGAAACACGGCTTTGGGACTTGGTGCATTCCGGGTCTTCCGATGTATTTCCAACCTGGTTAGATCTATTTTCTCCATTATCCATTCAAAGTGAGCTGCGAAGCATTGGCTTGAGGACCCGTAGGCACGACTCTTAGACAGGTCGAGGCACACACTGTCAAACAAACATGCACAGTTCGAGTGGCACTTGCTCTGCTTCGCCTTTCCGCAATGCCGATTCCGATTTGGATGTCCTATGCTCTCTACGGCAACGCTGCCCTTGACGTTGCAATCTTCATCTCCCCCTCGACCATCGCCATCCCGGACTACATCAGCGCCAAGTTTGCGTCTTCTTCGGATGTGAAGTTGGAGGAGCTCAAAGCCCACTTTTACACCATGGGGGGCTACTCCTTCCTCCTCCATGGTGCCGTGAGAGCAATGACCGGGTACTACAAGAATCAGCAGGCCGCCGGCTTGGCGATCTTCAGCTATTTGGTGGAGGTGGCGCAGATTCTTTACTTCCTGCGCAAGGGCGCGGGCAAGAAGTCCCTGCAAGTGGTGGCAGGCTGCGTCTTTTTATGGAGCATGGCGCTGGGCTATTTCGCCTTCGGAGAGTAGACCCATCGAGGCGCCGGAAGGAGCGACAGAGCCGGGCGGACCACTGAGTAGCGCTCAGGTTGGTTCCGGTGTGTTTGCTTGGAACGTCAGCCCCTCTTGAGCAGATCGGTGTCCTGCTGAGCTCAGCTGTGGATTCCAGAAAAAAGACGGGCTTAGCCACCCAAGGCAGATGGGGGGTTCATAACTGGCCGGTAACTTCAATTAAGTTCTTGTGCTCCCGAAGTGCGGGGTTCTGCCGGTGCAGCTGTGATCCTTAATTTTGGCCATGCTCTTGAGGTTGCCTACAGGTTCATGGGTTGCAGATCGGCTCAGGCTCACCGGTATCTTCCGCGGGGCAGTGTCGCAAGAGTTCATCAAGCCACGGCCGGCATGTTTGAGCCAACCAGAGGTTTGGCTATGACATTTATTGGGGACCGGTCTCACGTCAGGTAGCCACATGCTGCCATAAGCCAATTTGGCGCTGGGCAGAGCCCTCTTGAATCATAGTGCCAGGCGTAGACTTTGGAGTTGCAGATGTGAAGCTTCCCGGTTAGCTCTTGCATGATGTGGAATTATTACACCCTGTTTCTGCTGATCCCACTGTAAACACCCACCAAAACATGGTGTCCCATGGTTTCATGTCGCGCGAAATGGACTTCGCAACCATCCACAGTTCAGCAGATTGGGCTCAGCTGAGGTGCAGCGTAGTCGCCAGCCCCACTTTCGCACCGCCAGGCTGCGCAAAAGTGCGGCGCCAAGGACCCGCAGGGCGAGCAGTGGGCGAGCTGGTTTCTGCCAGGATATTTGCGAAGCCCGTTTTGGGAGTGGTGAGGGTGTGGGTCAAAAGTAGGTATTCGACATGGGTTGCTCTGCTAAATTGAAACGACGAAAATCTTCGGCTTTTCTGGTGATTGACCCATGCCCTTGAAACGGATACCAAAAGGAACCCAAAATGTTTGGGAATGCCCGATGTTGACACCCCACTTATATATAGTGTTGTTTAGAGGTTGATCCCCCTTTTGAGGTCGGCTGTCAAGAGCTATTTCTGGCTTATCCGCGCAACCTTTACGCCTTCGACCAGGTCCCACAGCGCTTTAGAGCTTGCAGCGTGCTTAAAGACACCACTCATGGTATTATACATACAGTGTAGTCTCAATTCTTCCTACTTCCTGGTAGATATTGGTCCTTGTTTGGCGTTGCTGGTTTGGTCCTCATTGCATCGACGTCAGGAAAAGCACTTCCCTGGGTTCCAGCCTGCTTCGCACGCTGGGTGCCCGTCAGGAAATGGGTGTGACTTGCTCTGCATGTCTCAAAGTGGCCTCAAGGGAGGTTTTGTCAAAGGGGAACGGCACGCGTGGGATTGCAAAATGGAATGCGGTTCTAGGATTGCACCAGGAATTCTTCTATCGGCATGCTTCCGTGCATTTTGCCAACCCATGTCTGGATTGCCCAAGGCCGGTGTCAAAATCGGCAGCCGTTGCGGTTCTCGCCTGGCGGTTGAATCGGCCGGCTGAGGTTTGTAGCGAGCAAGCCTTCGCCACCTGTGGAGCATCCAGTCATGACCCCAGGGCGGGCTGAAGACGATGAAGGCCAACTGAACTGATCCAAAGGCCATGGACGACTTGTCACACCTTCAGAAACCCTATGCGCTTCCCAAAACGCCTGCCAACAAATAAAATGCTTCAACCGTGGTTTCTTATGGATTCTGTCACACTGCCCATCCACAGTTTGAGTGGGGTGGACTAGCGACTTGGTGATGAATCAGCTTCTTTCTCGGAGTGCCACATTGGCAAACGTCCTTTCTGAATGTATGTGTTCGTGGCACTGCTGGCCTGCAATGAGGGCTCTAAATGGTGCTTGCTCAATCCTCGTGCAGGTTTCATGAAGGCTCATGCATTTCCCCTGGGAACAATGGTGCCCTGGAACTGCGTTTGGCGTCATGAAGATTCAGCCCCAGATTAAGAGTCCTGTTGTGGCTGGGCCCGGGTTTGGCTTGACACCCACTGATACAGCCAAGTTGCCACTTTCCCCCTTGTAGTTGAGCCTGCAGGAGCTTGTTTCCATTTCAATTTGCCACTTGCCGCTGCAGGACCACTCCATGCGAGCCAGATGCAGCGACTAGTTCAATTGTAGTTGCTGTTGCCAGCATGAAGCTGCGGCGGCAACGAGCATGATGTGTGCAAAGCCGTCGCAGCCCAAAAGCTCTAGGCCACAACGCGGCGTTCATTTTGGGTGGACCCGTTCAGTGCCAGATCTGATTACTGTTGAGAGTTGCCCCGACCCAGGATCCAGAGGAGGCTGGCGTAGTGATCATTGCGCCCGGGGCCCCATGAAGGGATCATGTGCAAGGCAGAAGAGAGGGTGCACGGAGTACGGGCTATCACCTGACTTCAAGAACCGTAGAGGCCAAATGTTGTCAACGGTTAATAGGACCATTTCACGCGGAGCTACAGGATGACGCGATGTCATTAAGAACGACCGCTTTGTATCAAGCTGTCCCTGCACCCGCCCAAACTTTTTAGACATGGGCACAACTCGTTGCGGCAAACTGCTGGTCAGCTCCGCGCCGGGGTGCGACATAGCACATCCGATTTCTAGTTGGCCTTTTGGAGAAATAACTGGGACTGGTAAATGATTAAACTGAAAACAGGGGCATCTGCGTTCAACAAACTGACCTGAAACAGACACCTATGGTCCTGTCTTCTTCAAAGACTCGCCATTTGGATGTTCTTCTCGTCATATCAATTCTATATGTCCCGCCAAACAATTCCCTTGCCCTTCAGCGTTTAAGAGCTTGTGTCAAAGGGAAACCATTTGTATGAGCTTCCTTGGCGAAAGGAGCTTGTGGTTTTCCTTGTACTTTTGCCGCGGGGCAACACTATTTGAAGCTCCAGTTGTGAGTTGGATGCATCTCAGGACAGGCGGGCGCTCTTTCTCTTTGCTCTTCCCCGGCGGCGGCGATGAGCGTTGGGCCACCCCAGGTTGATGGATCAGGGCTCAGTTGGTCCAGTGGGGTCGAGTGGGGTTGCGGTCGGGTCTTTCAGTAGAGACTTCCAGTGAATGAAGCTCTTGGCCATGTGTCGTGAGCCCCAAGCATTTGGCACGTGTTCCATCCGTGTGATTTGAGCTGCTAAGGTAAGAGCTGCGTCCAAAGCCTCCGTGTACATGTTTAGTATACGAGTCGTGTCATATCGACCTCGTAAGCAAAACTTCCACGCGTAAGGTTGCGTAAGGAAGAACTCCACGTGCGTAAGGTGGCGTAAGCTAGTGGCGTACCCGCCCTCACTTGCTTGAGATTGGTATTTTATGACCATTCACCCAGGCGTGGAGTAGACTCGATCATTTCGGCTCGGGACCGAACAATCCGTTTGTGTTTGTCATTCCACCCGCTTGTGATGTGCACTGCTCTCACGTTTGCTTTGTTGATGACATGAATGACAGGCTTGCTCCCTGTACTTTCGACTCCGATGTGCGAGGCTGTTGTCCTTGGATTGGGCAGGAATGGGTTTCTTGGCCCTTGTTTTGCAGGGGTCCTTTATACTTTCGGGGGTTCAAGCATCACCTCGTGGGCTGATACTTAGTTTTCTTCTGGGATGATGTTAGCGGGACATTTGAAAAGCTCTGTTCCCTAGGGCAGTCTGAGAGGTTGGTCGAACCCAGGCGATGAGTTTGCAGAGCCGGAAGCCGAGAGAGTGAGATCCGGGCCATATGGGTGGGGTGTGTTACCAAGCTGCCATGAATTGCCATGATCGATATGGGAGCTTCCCACTAAGTTACCTTGATGGGCAGTGGGGGGGAATGCGTGGGTGCGAATAGTAAAGGCCCCCCTCCCTCTCAAATCAATCAAGGGTCAATAGGAGTAACTGTAAAACCATGGGTCAGAGTTGGGCCTACTCAAGGTGGTCTCTCCGAAAGTAATTAGTTTTCAGTCTACTTGGGTCAACTTCGGTCCTGCTTTGTCGTCTCCGGTCCCCTCTGCTTAAGACTGGTTTAGAATTGTTTGAGTATTCCTTTGAGCTGCCCAGTTCTGTTTAGAATTGGTTTGGTATTGGTTTAGTATGCCTTTGCACTGGTTCGGTAGTCTTTAGAACTGGTTTACTGGCCCTTTTGTTTGGCTGTTTGGGGCCTTGGTTTTGCTGGCTCGGGATTGGCTTAGTAACGGTTTTGTATTAGTTAGTCTTGGTTTAGTATTAATTAGTACTGATTAGTATTGGTCTAGCATTGCCCAGACGGGCAACCATGTTTTTCCCACCGAAACACACTTTAAAAACACTTTTCTGAAGTTCCTCCCCCTTTTGCTTTTCAGGGTGCGGAATGATTTGGGAACACTGCTTTGAATTACCTTCCCTTTGATAATTCGCTATCCGGCATTACAATGAATTACTATGCCAATTAGTCAAGAAAAAGGGGAAGGGGAACTGAGACAGAGTCATGATTTGCCGAACACTCCCTGGGGGATGAATTGGGATGAAGCACCTGTGTGCAACCCTAGCTTGCTGATCTATGGCTAGCCTCTTGAGTCGTGAGTTACCTGCTTATAACAGATTCCTGGTAAACGTGAACTCCGACGGACGCAATGGCAACAGCGTAGCCTTTGAGGAGACCTTCGGACCTTTTGCTAGGTTCTGCGCAAGTGGATGAAGCTGCTACGATTTGGCAACTTCCCTGGGGAAATGGGTGTGTTTGGTTTTGCAGTTGGCTTTGGTCACAAGTCCAAACCAGAAACAGGCGCGACCACCTTTCTGAGTCTTTACATGTCTTTACCATAGGTTTGGGGTAGACTCCTATTTCATCATCCTTGAAACATTCGGAGGCCCCTACATTGATTTACATCCTTTTGAAACCACCCTACCTAAAAAAAACATTCTTACTGTCGTGCCTTTGTTTTTCTAGGACCGCCACCTTCGCCGTGCAGCGTGTGCGCCGCGAAATGGGCCCGGCGGCCGAGCCAAAAGCTTTGGCAGCTTCGGAACCAAGACCGCGTTTCCGTTTCGGGGACCTACCCAACGGATTCCACTGTGAGTACCATTGTCTGCATGACATTCAGGTCATCCAAACGGATTTGTTAGTGACTGACGTGACTGAGGCAGGCCTTGCAAGTTCTGAGAAGGGCTGTAGCATAGCCGGCGAGAGTCCATCCATGCGTAGCTACCTTGATGGAGGGGATACACTTATGGCATGGTTTGTCTCAGCGTGGATTGGCCAACTCCGTGCAAAAATCATGCACGGAGATCACCTAGATGGCGAATTCCAATCAAAGGTCCCGGTTCGGACATGTTTCAGGCTTAGTTTTGATGGGAATGATGGGAATGTGCCAGACTCAAGGAATCGCCAGATTTGCCAGCGCCACGCGTTTCCCGCGAGAGTGAAATAAGCTGACGTCACTTGAGTTGTGCGAGTTGAGGGTTCGAGCATACCATATGAGGCAACTGCTCTGGCAGTATCTCAACCTCACCCAAGCACACATGCTGCTTCCAACGAGCCAATGGATGCAGGACGGTGTCAAGGACAGTCGCTCGCATTTCGACCGCCATTCTGCCAGAATCTCTTGGAAAGTTGCGCGTGAGCTCAGCATTGCAATTTGGAGTACGTGTGTGTGTGTGTGTGTGTGATGTGTGTGTGTGTGTGTTGTGTGTGGTGTGTGGTGTGTGGGGTATGGGGTGTGGGGTGTGGGGTGTGGGGTGTGGGGTGTGGGGTGTGGGGTGTGGGGTGTGGGGGGTGCGCGGGTGTGGGTGTGTGGGTGTGTGGGTGTGTGGGTGTGTGGGTGGGTATGTGGGTGTGTCAAACCAGGGGGACCCTAACATTGTGGGCTTCCTTTTGGTTTCCCGGTAAACCAAAGTGACAAAAATGCCCTCAACAGACACGCATTGCCATTTCACCCAGAGCCAGGCCAACCAAACCATCCAGCGGCTAGCACGGCGAGAGGGATGCGACAGGTGAGATGCGGTCGGCCGACTCAGCAAATCAGTTGGCGGAAACCCTGAAATGTGTGCTTCGCCTTGTTGGTACCCTTGAAAGCAACCCCAAACAGGAGCACCCCCCCAAAGCACATTGATTATGTTGCAGCATACCTTTCAGCAAAGTGCTGGCCAATGGCTACAAATGCTTTCGTCCACATTGAAGCTGTTGAAGGGGAAGGTTGCTCGAGTTTTGCCAGCTCAATTCTGGCACGAGTTCTGACATGGGGCTGGGAAATGATTGCCCTGGAGCCGCACAACTTCAGAGGGAGCAACACTGCAAACCTTACTGGTTTGTATGACTCAGAAGCTTCCCAATTGCATTAAATTGCACTGCATTCCCTGCAGCCCCCTTCCACTTAAAGGTAGTGTTGTTTTTGTGTGTTCAGGTTTTGGCAAGTGTTGACAGAAGCAAACCACCAACTGAAGCTGTGGTCCAAACAAATATGGATACGTGATATCCCCAACACCAACCCCCCCTTCACACTCCGCAGCCTACATGGGCCTTTCGAGCCCACAGCTATCCATAGCTTGCCGAAGAGTTGATCTGGTCACCGCAAAGCAAATTCGACCTGAAACAACCTTCGCTGTTTTTCCCTCGTCCATGTGCCCAAAAAAGGTCGCCTTCAATTTCTGGGTCGCTGGGCAAGATCTGTTCGCCAGTGCCGCCGCCTTCGACGGCCTGTGCCCCTATGCTGGCTGGAGCGGCAAGGCACGCTCTCTCCGGGATGCGTGGCGTTTAAAAACAACAAACAACATTTGGCTGTGTCTCCAAGTAAGGGAACCTTCAAAATGGCCGGTTGTTTTTTGGTTTCCTTTTCACACCATTTAAGGGTCCTCAGAAAGAAAGCAATGCGCAGGCATGATTGAGGGATTTGCTGTGAGCATGTTGATTTGGGGCGGTGTCAATGTGCATGTTTGTGGGGACTCTGTTCGCTGTCGGTTTGTTTTGAGCTGGCCGTAAGGCTGGAAGAACCCCGTGGACGTACCTATCACATTGGGCCATTGAACGCATAGTCACAATGTGGCGTCTTTTCCGAAAAACGCTCTCGGCGCTATGAGTTATTTGTACCCAATATCTTTGCTTTTCTGCGGACATGTCGAGGTTCAACGTCCCCAGTGCCATTTGGCTTCAGCCTCTCGCGAAGAGGGTTGCCTCCCAAGGCTAAGCTGGCTGCCCGTAGTGTCTGCTTGAAGCGCCCCTTGCGGCGCAAAATCCTGTCGCGAATAGGGCCGCAGGTCCAATCTTCCTGTCATGCACAAACCTCATCGCCAAAGGTGCAACGTGCGTTTCCGGAGCGCGATGTGAGGAAAACACGTGATGTCTCCCGCCCAGTTGTTCAGCTCCTGCGTTGTCCAGCTTCACTTGCTGACCTCAAAAGTTACACCGCATGGAGAAATTCCCAGTGGATCTAATGGACAGCTTGCTTCTGTCAGAGCCATTCGCTCGCTTGGACCGCTCCAGGCCTCGCGCGACACAGAGCGAAAGCGTTGGGCGCTGGTCAGCTTCTCGGACCGATGGCTTTCGCAGCTGACAAGGCGGGGGAGGGGAGGTTGGGTCGGACAAATCTGTGGCCATTGTCAGGTCGTTGGGCTCAGTTCAACTTGGCAAGTTGCCCAAGAGTCCCTGCTAGGCCCAGCCTGCACGAGTTCGTGGCTGCGCGGCCCTGGTACGATCTACTGCTGGAGGAGGATTTGCCCCAATCACCTACGTATCGAAAGGCTCCACACCAACGACCAAATCAGCCCTGTTGCTGCCTGGTTTCCCATAGCTCCATCGGAATTGATGCTTGATCTACCCATAGAAAGTGGGGCTTTGGGTTAATTTGGCCTTGATGTTCATAGAGGCGTGCCTCTAAACGCAGGACCCTAAAATAACTCGTTTCCTTAGGTTCCCGTTTAAACCCCCAAAGGGGTGTCCACCTTTTTGAGACCCCCCCCCCATTCAGCCGGTTTGGGCCCAGGAGCCCTTGCTCGATGCTCGCGACTGGCACCCGGCCTGGAACAAACTCGCCTACGCGCGGCGGGCCCGGGGCCCACTGGCGCTGCGGATGTTCACACCCCGAAGGACCTCGCAGCCTGAAGGAGCCCCCGAAAACCCACAAGAACCCCCCCCATATGGTGAAACCGACCGCACCCGCCTTGGTGTTTGGTTATTTGGCGTGATTCCACGCTTAGCTTCCCTCATTGAGTGTGGTCCTTTCGGGGTCAAAGGGCTGGGGGCAGTCGCCAGATGGTGAGGAATATAATCTATGTACAATATATATATATATACACAGATGCATTCAAGGAAGGAAACAGCCGAGTTTGCATGGCGACAGCTGACTCTTTCAAATCGAAGCGTTCCTTTGATTTTAATGTGTATTTGTTATGTTTGTTTAGTCTTATTTCGTTTGGAGATGACTGGAAACATGATAGTATGTATATATAGAGTGTCAGCCCCCCATGATGTACCTGTTGCTTTTTGCAGCCCTTTTAAATAGTCTAGTGTATTGACAGTTCACATGTTGAATGCCAGACTGCTTGGTAGTGTGTGTGTGTGTGCTTTAAAGAAAAACAACATGAGCTGTAGACTGATGTTTAAGATGCAGAATCATGAAAGTGTGTCCAAAACCCCTAGACCAGGGAAACCCTGACTTGGGGGGGGGATTCCAGGTTGAGTTGGGCATGCAAAAATGGGGTTCATTGTTTACAGTGTCTTCTGAAACCACATGCAAGCTCAGCTTGACTCTTCATAATGCATGCAAGTGCATCAAAAAAAGAAAGGACTCATTTCAAGGTACACCAGTAAAATCACATGGACAGCCAAAAGGCAGAAGCAACTCGATAAAACCAAAGCTACAAAAGCAGCAGCAAATCTGTGGGGGAAAAATTGGCTTCAGACCCGAACTTCCCAAAAACCAAAGAGCAACTCGAGTTCTTGGCACTCCCACCCAATGATAAACAAATCGAACATTTGCTTTCACACGAAAACCGTGTTCTCTCGTGTGTTGCTGCTAAAATGTGGCCATGTTGAATTTGTTGTTCATAGTCTCCATCACTAATGTTATGCTCGTTCAATTGACTGTAAATTATCTCTGGGAGAGTACCTTCGCAAGGGTATGAACAATAAGGCAAGCGGTGCCTCTTTTGCTTCGCCGACACATCTTCGATTTATCATCTCAAGTGATGTGCAAATCCTCTTCGTTTTTCAACTTTTAGACACCAGTGCCAATACCTGCTACGCATCTTCCATCTCTCATCTCAACTCATTTGCAAATCCCCTTCGTTTGTCAGCTCACACACCTTGGCCAATATCCAAACATTTGCTCAAACCTTATGATCAATGCCACGCTGTTTGCTAACATAACTAGTTTTTTCGAACGAAATCTGTTCTGCACAAAGCTTGCTAAGAAGCATTAGCGTGGATTTCTAAAACATATTATCAAACACATAATTGTCCAATGTCCATATGCTGAACTATTTTCTGTACTTACCGCACACAAGTCCAAAATAACAAGGGGCACAACCAAACAGGACGACTGAAAGCAGACGCTTTAAAGCGCTTTAAAGCGCTTTAGGATCTAAGATTCAAGAATCAAGATTCCCAGAACTCTAGCTTGAATCTTGAATCCAGTATGGGCCCCCCAAAACGCTTTAAAGCGCTTTAAAGCACTTTTGATTGAAGATTCAAGGAGTCAAGAGTCAACATATCTTGGTGTGTGTGTTTTTTGAGCGCGGGGTACCATATATATATATATATAATGTGTATTGGTGAAGAAGTGAAGTTTGAGCTTTCAAAGCCCTGGGGCTTCAACATTGATTGGTACGCACGTTCAGACAGACAAATGATCAGACAGAGCCTGGTGAGGCTCTGTGGGATCTGCGGGCGAATATTCACAAGAAAGTGTTAAGATTGGTTTTCTCCAGTCCCTGCTTGTTTGTTTTGCCCATGAGTATAACTGCTGCCAAAGACAGGCATGCCAGGTTCCCAAAAACACGTGCCTTCGGGAGCATCTGGATTGCAACTCAATGTCATGCAAGCTTCCAGGCATTGATTCTGGGCACGTACAAAGCAGTGGTGTGCTTGGATGACGACATTCTCATTACCAACCCGAAGTAGGAAGCTCAGCGGGAGGTTGCAGCATATGCTGCAGTCTGAAACTGTAAGTCATTAAACCACATTTGGCATTCTCAAGATGCATAAATATCTCGCAAGACAGGTTGCCATGGCTATTCACTGGTTTGTTTCGCAGCAAGCTTTGTCAAGATGCGGGAAATGTTTAGCACGCAGTGTTTCGGAACTGACCCCTGTCTTTTACATCAGCCAGATGTTGCGTACCAAGGATAGACCCCATTGCAGACGCCATAGCCAGAGGCTCAGTGTTTCTCAGTCTGCACACCCTCAAGAAGTATATGACCAGTGTGGGTGAGCCTTCGCCCAACATGCCCCGGCAACGGCCTACATGAAGATGCTATTGATATGGCTCTTATAGTTTCACGAAAGAGAGAGACAGAGAGACAGAGAGAGAGAAAGAGAGTGCGGCCATCACTGGTGCCATTAATCCCATATGTCCAAATGACTGCACAACATATAGAGCAAGCAAGCTCTTTGCCAGGAGACTTACTTTGCAGCTCACCAGGTGTGGAGGGAGAAGCCAATTTAGGGCCGAAGAAGCAGCCGAAGATTGTGCAAGGGATTTGGCTCGGGTGGCTTCATTCAGAACGGTTTTTGTGTGGTAGTGCTTCAAGCCAGGCAAAGCTGGTGGTGGCATCTTTGGATGAGCAGGCGGGAGCTGCGTTCGCAGAACGAAGCATGTCATACCGACCCAGGTACACGCACGTGTGCCCTTCAACACTGGCGTGCGGGTCCCTGACCGTGCAAGGGAAGGAAAGCACTACCTTCGGCATGGGCAGGGATCATAGCCTTGGGTTGGTTTTTGGGCCACCAGAAGGAAGCCGACTATGGAGAATCACCTGTTCTGAGAAACACAGAGCTGTTGGCCATCAAAAGCTTTACATCTTCAAGCTCCATGAGAGGTCTCGGCCTTGCGAGGTGCTAGCATTGAGGTCATCTCAGGAGACGTGGGGCTCCTCAGCCAAGGCTATGACAACCGCGAGCGAGCAGTGCCCAAAACCCCAACACAGGCCATTTGAGTGGGTGGCTCCACTACCTGCTTCAATTGGGCTTTTGGTAAAGCCAACATAAACCTTTATAACCATGATGGTGGAACCAACCAAGCCGCTCAAGTTGTGTTGTTTCGGCATGCAAAACGTCAGGCCCGCGAACTCATCAGCTGAGCATGCCTTGGACTTGATTTGGAGCCCCCCAATTTGGTGGCTGCTCCAAGGACAGACACACACACACACACACACACACACACACACACACACAACACGAACCCAACGATTTGGAAGCTGCTGCTGAGACGAACCCAAATCTGTGCTTACCCTTCACTGCAAGCCGCACTGTGTCTGTGTGTGTGTGTGTGTGATGTTTTGTTTTTGAACGCTGCAACGCTCACTTTGCCTTGGAGCAGTCCCATCTCTGGGCGGCTAAGATTGATGCTTCTTGACGAGGTCTTCAGAATAGGCTCGGCCAATTCTTCTGGCAGATGGGCGCCGGCAGAGCTATCGAATCTATGCTTCTCAAGTGGTCCCAACGTTTGCATTTGTCATCCATGCCGGGGTTGGTGCACAGGTCGGTCGTGATCCTATGTTAGCTAAAAACCCACAACCAAAAAGAGGACGTCCTTAAAATGCGGCGCCCTGCCCACTCCCCGTGGTCCATCTCCATATCGGTCGCTGCAAGGCCGCCGTTTGAAGCTGGTGAATGGCTACACGTGGCTGCCTGGCCCTCGAACAGCATCCGATTGGGACATCCTTGAAGGCTCGGGATCCAAAGGCGAGATAGATGACACGGATCTTGTGAATCGCTCGCGGCAATTCCAAGGTATGCATAAGAATGGTAGAAACTAGTGGCTAGCATCATGTAATAGACAGACAGGATCTAGATAGATATACACATAGTGTGGCTTAAATATATTGAGCAACTCGAGGCCTCGCGTCACGGGACTTTGGGACCAGGCGGGCTGTCGAACAGACCAAATCGGAGCCTTCAAATAGAAAGATGTTGGTGGGCGCTGAGTCAGAGGTAAGCGCGGGGAGTTTTGCAGATTCTGATTCATATACAGACAATCTTAATGTTGACCTCGGATGAAGCAGAACCCCTGGTTCATTGATAGGGTGGTGTTGGCTTAGTAGGGACTCATCACTGGAGGGGTACACCCCCCCAATTAGTAGGTCTTAGACCTTTAACTGACCGTGGCGTTTTTGACACTTCTTCAGGGACAGACCTCTTTGCAAGAACATGGCACATGGTGCACAAGTTTTGCAGGAAGCAATGGCATCGCTCAGGGACAAAAAACAACTAAACCACTTTTGACACTTAAGATAGCGCGGAGGAATGTCAGCAGGGTTCTTTTGCCATCACATAGGCACTTGACACACCAGCTCCGAGGCTCCTCGCCTGGGGAAAGGCAAAAGGAATCCGCTATGTTCCGCAATTGGCAGATGTACGAAACACCTAAAATGCTTTCTAGTGCCCTGGCTTGTGAAGAGTGGCCAAGCAAGATGTCAAATCCGGTTGTACTGCAGGTGTTTTACCCTTTTTTCTCTCGGAAAGACACAAATGTGGGATGTGTCTTGTTCCGCAAAGGATTGGTTTATTAATCCGGGGTCAACCTTACGTGTTCTGCCAGATGTTATTCTTGAGGGAGGGAGATCAAGGTGCGCCCTTCCAGGCCTTTCCACAAGGGCCCGGCCTTGTTGCAATTTGCTTCATCTGGCCGACGTTTCGTCTTTCCAAAAGGATCTGTCAGAAACTTGGGATGGGCATGGATGACCTTTGGAAACGCACCCGTTGCCCGAAGCTTTGGGCTTTGAGCCGGAGGACGCCTTCGCCGAGTACGTCGACCAGTATGGCGCCAGTCGTTTTGCCCGGCTGCACAGGCTGATGCCAAACATGGCTTCCTTGCCCGCTTTCTCCCGTGGTTTCAGAGCTACCAGGGTCCTTGCTGGCCCCTGATAGTCACTAGTCACTAGAGCAATGGCTGCCTTTGCTCGAGCTTTAAACCAGTACCTGACTTTGGGATCTTACTTATTCTCCCTTTTCAGACCCGAAGCTGCAGCTTGTGTCGTACAAATGAGCCACAAGCAACCCGGATAGATGAGACTCGCTGCTGAATAAATAGATGTAAGACTAACCTGCATTAGCCATATTATCCTTGCGGTTTCGATTCAAGAAATCCCCGGTGTTCTCATTGTCATTCTCATTCAGGTGTCAACCTGCCTGGACTCAGGCACTTCTTCCTCATGGCCAGCTGCAGTCCTTTGTTCGCAGAGGCTCGCGTATTCGCATGTGAATGAGTATTCATAATGCACCCACTCAACTGCCCGCCCACTCACCCGGCCAGCAATGAATCAAGCGACCGACCGTCCAACCAACCAGCATAGTGCTTGTCATAAGGATTCGGTCAGTTCTAAAATGTATTAAATGTTTGCAAAAGGGGAGGAACACAAGTCGCCCACCCCGTGCGTGCGGTTGCCGTGGCAAAGTACGTGGCGCGTCAGCTGGCTGCGGTAGCAACACCTGAGATTGATTGGCCTCCCTCACTGATGGCTCCCGCAAGGCCCAGAAGCGAAGCATCTAGGTTTTCTTGGCATTAGCGCCCCAACTATGATCGGCAAAGCGGGCCGGTTTCAGATCGTTGTGTGAAGAGGCCTTGCGGATGGTGTGTTTGAAAATTGCGCCATGGAAAAGGGTGCTTGATCAGTGGGTCGCGGTTGCTCCCAATTTCCTCGTGTCCCTTCTCCTGAATTGTAGTTTGCCACATACCAGAGAGACGCGTGGACCTTTAGAAAAAGATCACCGCCTGGGGTGTGGCTTGATTGTGCTATGTTTCCATGCATGGACCTCCAATGAGGAATATAGGGAGGGGTGCTATCAGCAACCCTCAAGAAGACCTTGTTCAGGGCTGATTCTTGTCTTATTCTGGGCTTCCTCAGGGATGGCCCCCCCCCATCTTTCTAGACCCCCTTGGAGGTCCATGATGCGCGGAGACTTCTTAAGGCACCTAGACAGCTCGATCAGGCCACTCCCTGTGGTCCGCGGGCCACTTTGCGGCGCATTTCACCGGCCATGTTCTGAGTGTGCGAAGTCCACGAAGTCCAGTATAACTGGGTGCAATGATTTATGCAAGCGATCCAGTAGCTCTTGGAGTATTGCGCGGTGATATATGTACTCTGGAGCCCTGCTTCATGATCTTGTTTTTCCTCTTGTGCCGTCCTTTGGATTCAATTGTCCAGCCTCTGTACTTTTCCCCACGTAGAGTCAAGGCAAATAGCTAACTTTGATTTAACGTTCAAGCAATCGCCCCTCGCGGGCGTTCTGCCCTTTCAAAGATGCGAATGGTCGGAAATTGGCGTTTTTTGCTTCCTTTCAGTTTCCCTGTTCATGAACCATACCCCAGACGGTTGGGATGTGTCCACTTGGACAGAAGTTCTCCGCGCAGCGTGCCCGAGGCTTGGCGGAGCTGGATGCGGAGGACCGCTGATGTCTCAGTTGCATGGAGCTCGCCGAAGCCCAGAGAGAGAGAGGGAGGGAGCCCCTGGCCGCGTGTTTTGTTCTCAGCACGTACAGGTTAATCCGACGAGAACAATGAGACACGGCCAAATGGTTGTGCTCAACATGCGCAAAGCTTGTTGCAAAGCCTTTTGAGAAGCTGTCGCCCAGGCGCTGATCTTCTCAAGGGCTTCCTGCTGGGTTTGACGGCTTAGAGGCCGCAGCAAGGTTGCCTGCACGGCACCCACACATCACAAACACATCGCACGCGTTGCGTTGCTTTGTTTCAGGTCCAATTGTATTGCATTACATCACAGTATTTGGGGTTTCTCAAAATTTGAGGGTTCGTGCGAACATGAGGGTTCCTAACAATTTGAGGGTTGCTGAGAACTTGGGTGTTTCAGAATTTGAGGGTGTCTAACAATCTGGGGGGTTCTTAAGAACTGGAGGCTTTGTAAGAATTTGAGGATTTCTATCAATTTGAGGAGAACATGAGGACGCGTTTTTCTGAGGCTTCCAGCAAAGAAAAGAGGGGGTGGAGTTTTATCCAGTGCTTTTTTCTTAAACAGCGCTTGCGCTGTACTTACATAGGATATGCATCTATGCATGCATGCATGCATTCACAAAACAATACAGACATGCATACATACGTGCATACATGCACGCATACACACCATACACACACTCGGCATGCATCCATGCACAGATGCATGCATACAGAGTTACATACTACTACACGTAGATACACACATGCAAACATCCACAGAGGACCATAATATGTATAGGTGTGTATGCATTTGTATACATGCACACATATACACATACGGACATCCATCCATCCATCCATCCATAAATACATACATACATACATACATACATACATACATACATACATACATACATACATACATACATACTGGTAGAGGAAGGTTTGTAGGGGGGCCACCCAAAGCATGAATAAATCCGGCCACACGTTTCTTTTCGTTGGGGTAGACCCTTGACTACCAAGAGCGGACATCTATCACCTTAAAGCCAGTTGCGGGTCAGAAAATCCATGGTTGCAACTCAGATCGTTTGAAGTGGCCAAACATGTTGTTCTTTTACTTCGCCAGGGTTGCTCCCCAAGAACCTCAAGGAGAAGCTGGACGGACCTCAATGCCTGCAGCTATCATCCCAGCATCCGCTGTTGGCGATCTCGGGCTTGAGAAGCGGCAGGTGTCGAGGTATGCTGCATTCTGGGGCAGAAATATTTGGACCTGGTCTGGTTGTAAGGTCATGCGGACCTGCCTTCCCTCGCCGTGCACGATGAGGCACGACGCTGGCTCGCTTGTTTCGGCATGGTGGACGGGGGGGTGTTCGTCCATTCGAGCATGTGGCTTTGTCAAGGATAGCAGCCTGAAGGTGAAATCGCTGGAAAGCAGCCCTCAAGTTCATTGTACTTGATCTTGTGAATTACATGGACTGCTTTGCGTCTTTCTGGAGGTGCCCTTGGGAAACGACCCATGGGGTCTCCCTCGTGTAGAGGCATGCCCACATGCAGCCTGGGTTCCAAACATTGGCCAAAAGGCACGAGCGGAGACATGGGTGATTGCGACCCTTCCCACGGCGGACGCCGCACAAACTGGTGTATTCCTAGGAGAGTTGTTCAATGTTACAACGTGACTGTAGTGACGTAATGCATGATTCAAACGGTACTGTAGAAAGCTGCTGCTTGTGACACAATCCGACCCATCAGCGTGGTTCATGCAGGCTCGGGCATAGAAATTCCTCGACGCACCGCGTCGCTCTGTACAAGGTACCCTGCAGACACTTTTGATCGAGGGGGTTGCAAGGGAAGCAGTGAAGGCAGCCTTGCACTAGATTAAAAATCATCGAATTTTTCTGAAAACCACTCGATGGGCAATCTGGAAAACGGGGAATTTCGCTCGAAGCGATTTTGATTCGGATGGATACCCCCACTTGCGAGGCACCTCGAACGGTCCACTTGGCTCAAGGGGTGCCAAAGAGTTAGCCTTCCCAGTCCCAGTTCTTCAGGTTGCCTGTGTAGTTGGTAACCGGCTTGGTTTCCTAAGTTGTTTTCCTACTACATTGGTAGCTGGCTGGTGATTTCCCAGAACCACGAAACAGGCAACAGAATAGAGGCGGAATGGTTTCCGGTCCTCCTTTTTTTGGAACCAAGCTTGGTTCTTGAAAAATTTGGTAACCATGGCCGGGTTACCTGTTCTGGTTGCCAGGAAGTGCTGGGCCTGTCCTGCCATTCCGCTCAGGTCTTGCAATCTGAGTAGTCCCAAGCTGACAACGTCGCTACGGGCGTCCTACCGCTTGCCTGCGCCTTAGTTGAAGCTGCGGATCTTGAGATTTGCACAGGTCTTGGAAACCTCCTCTTTGTTGATTGTCTCTGTGTGTGTGTGTGTGTGTGTGTCATGCCTTGCGATTTGTGCCGTGGCAATGTTGCCACACTTTGATCCTTTACGCTTTCTGTCTTGTTCATCTCCTCAACTTGGTTTTCTGCCTTCAACTGTTAATCTAGTAGGAATCGTTTCTGGGATGCCTCGTACGTAGCGCAATGAGTTGCACTGCTGCACTGCCGCAGTCCCTTCTCTTCCCCAGACTGTCATGCCTTGCTACAAGCTGTTCAACTATGCCATTCGATGCCTCTTGAGTTTTGTGTCACACAAGCCACACGCGTTGCCACTCCTTGATTCGCTTCATGGGTGTTATCGCGTTGCCTCGTGGCGACATATTGGTGCCACTCATTGCATTGAGATGTGAGAATAGTGTGGCTGTTATGCTTGGCAATGAGCGAGTTGTTCACAGGTGCTAGCACAGCGCTGAGTGAATTATACAGTTCGGCGCGGCCATGTTTTGCAAGGGCGCTTTGAACATCAGCCAAGCTTCCGCGTGGTCCAAGTTTGACACAAGCAATATGTCTAGCGGCTGAAGCTCGGCGAAGCATCTTGCGTGCCATCCCGCATAGACTCGAAGCGATTCAGGAAGTGACACACTTATATAGTTCCTTTTGTCAAGTGTTTTTTGTTTTCGTGGCAAAATAGCATTATGATTCATTTGGGGGTAGTCGAAAGCCAAAGGGAGAGTGTGTGCGTGTTTCGTTCTGTTGTTTGATAGGTTGCTGTCCAAGAGAAGTTCAAAATGGTGCTGTCCACAATTGTGCGCAGATCTCAAGACAACAAGAGCCAGCCTGCACGCCGAGAATGTGATGGCCGGCATTCCTTGCATTGCGGGCGAAGTCAAACGTAAGGCTTTTGCAAACTCTCCGATCGTGGCGAAGCAAGCCGCCCGTTTGGCCGGCCAGGACTAGGACGTGATCAGTGAAAAAGTTGTAGATCGTTCGGTTGAGTGTGTGATGCGGGCGGGTGGCCTCGCTTGATCACATCACTGTGCTTGGCTGAGGCCGGTGTTCTTTCTTGCACTGCGCTAGATGTCATTGTGCATGCCCGATAGATTCAAGCATAGGAAGGCGGCAACTGATGGCACAAGAATGGGCTGCAGCAAACCATGGACAGTGACTAGAGGCGTTTGTTACAAATGGACGGGTTTCACTGATTTCAGATTGGTCTTATTGCCATTTACCAGGGACACCCATCTATTTGTCCAAAAGGTCAGCTAGGGGTCAGACTCGACAGAGAGCAGACAGCGTTTGAAGCATTGGTGCCATGCCGATTGAAGAGGTCACTGGCGATCTGTTAACCGCGCAGGACGTGATGCAGCGAACAGGGTGAGAATGCTCAAGCCTCCGGGGTTGCCCCTGAACACTGACCTGCAACAGTCCTCAGAGGCAATCCCTTCACAACTGGGTGGATTTGCACATTTTAGAATTGTTTGGACAGGTACGACGATTGGCATCAGTTTGAAATCATGCTCCTTTGCGTTTAGCGCGTGCGGGTGCGGTTGGAGCAGGGGTTTAGTCAGCCCTGGACAACTGACAGACCACGGGTGTCCAAAAGTGTTTGACGCTTTCCGCAGGTATCGGTATCGTTTCAATCAGGTTTGGGCTAGGCAAAGGGTCTCCTTTCTAGATTCCCGATGTCTAGTGCTCAGATGGTGGAGGTAGGGTCAAGGGCTCGCTTTTCTAGCGCTTTTGCCAACAAACGCTAGAAGCAAGTCCTTCTTACCCTTAAGCTTACCCTTTCCCCGAAAAACAACACAAACAGAAAGACGCGCCCTCACGAAAAAGTGGGGCCCCCTCTCTTGGTTGAACGGCGCGGAAGCCCCAAGGCTCCTAGACCGGAAAGAGCAACTGACGCGCCAAGAGCAAGAGTCGCTTCCCTTCGCTGACAAACAGCGAACCAAAAGAATCCCAAAGACGTCTGGTTTTCCTTCTTTCTCGGTTGGCCAAACAAACAAAGAACGATTGGAGGGACGCACGGGGTTCCTTCTTTGTTTTCTTGGTTGATACAAAAGCCTAGCAAACGATCGGGTTGTGGTAGGAGCAATATATCGTCCAGCAGTCCAACTGTGCCACCACCTACGCCGCCGGGCTTGCTGCCGCCATCTCCTCGAGCTTCCCCCACGCCGACGTCTACGCCCCAGACCGAAGGCATCCGAAATGGATGGGTTTGGTCTCCGATAGGTGGTTTTCCCAAAACAAGTGGTGTCCTGTTTTGGCTTCCCTTCTGAAACGACCCCCCAAAAATGCAAAATGAATTCCGTGCATGGTGTCACTCCCTTGTGACTGGACAAGTTTGTTTGGAATGGAACTGGGAAACCAACAAAGAAATGCGGGTTCCCTTTAAGCAACCCCAAAGGGAGCCAACTTCAAAGCATTATTCTGTCTCGCCTATGGGCACAGAGGACTTAATTGATTGTCCCGTCAGGAGGAGTCACCAGTTTTACCGCGTCCATTGCATGCTTATTTTGAAAGTCCCAAAGTGGGTCCCAAAACTGGGTGGAGTCGTTTTGTTTTCTCTTGAAACACCCTGTCCAGAAACCCAATGGGTGGGAGGAAACCTGCTTCAAACCATGTGTCATGGATGGAATTAGGTATCAATCCGGTTTGGTTCCGTTTTGTTACTAGCAATCCCCTTGCCAGTTTGGCTCAAATCGATGAAGCAGGTGACATGGATTTGGGGATGGTTCTGGCTGGCGCATCTCCAGAAAACCCTTGAGGCGTGAGCGAGGCAGCGAGAAGGGCGACGTGCCGGGTACCATCGCAGTGTGTGGCGGCCCCTGCGCTTCGCAGGACCAGGAAAAGCCAGGACCTCGGAGCCGAGAGACTCCTTTTGATCGGTTGGTTTGCTTCAATTATCGACGGGTTCCACTGGTTCAGAGTTGCCAGGGCCCCTGTTGCCATCTATTTATCCAGGCCACCTATGGCTGAGAGCTGGAGAGCTGCGATTGATTCGATACTGCATTTTGTTCAGCAGGGTCAACTTGCTTCCTAATGGCAGGAGAATTGCACGAGGGCCAGTGTTCAAAGGGTCCAATCCTATTTTGGGTTTGCTCCCAGGGGAACACAGCCAACCAAGTGCTGAATGGAGACGTTGGACATAGATTTGATGATTTGATGCGCTATACTGTTTGTTTGCCGAGCTTGGTGGTTGGTTCCAAGAGGTAGGTTGGTCCACCGACCTGCTTGCTTTTCAAAATGCAGGCTCAAATGCAACAGCAAGTCACCTATCCAATACACATAGGTTCAGACTGGACTGTTTTCCAAGTGTATAGAGTCTGACCTTGCTTCCAGCGCACTTTGTTTTGCGAATTGTTGGCCATGTTCGATGGTCGTTGAGGGTTGGTTGCAGGGGCCTTGGGCACCTATCAACTTGAGCGCCTTGGACAAGGCTCTCCCAATGGGGGGTTTGACCATGTGTGCCCAAGTTCTGCTCCACAGCATCCTTTGTGACTGTGGAGAAGTTGTCCCCCTTGAAACGACGATGGACCATGGCTTCTGCTTCGTTGCAAAGTCCGTCGGGTCATCGAAGTATCAGTATGTCAGAAGATGGTGTTTTTTTTCTGAACGTGTAAGCCAATTACCGCATGATTACGTGCCCCCAAGCAAACAAGTGACCACACTCATACAATCTGGGAGGCAGACATGGTGCGCTATCCTGCTTGTTCTGCTGCCCTTACTACTGCTGCTGCCCTTACTACTGCTGCTGCTGCTGCTGCTGCTGCTGCTGCTGCTGTGGGCGGCTAGCGCGATTCAGGCGAGGCGTCATCAGCGTCTTTGCGCAATTCCGTCCTGGCAAGCCGAACCACAGGAAGGAAGGGCCCGTGGAGTACAAAGGCGCACGCCAGCTGCGAATTGCACTGGTGGCAAACGCATGGGAGCCCCGCACATGTTGCATTGGTGCACTGCAATTCTCCGAAGCACGCTGATGTTTGCCGCAGGTGAACTTTTGGCTGACGGGCAAGACCATTTGTGGAAGATTAGCGTTGTGAAACCACACACCTCAAACCCTAGCCGGGTTTTAGATAACCCAATAAGGTTTCAACAAGTCTAACAGCATTTTGTCGTGCTGGCCCGGCAGGCCTTGTGTCCAGCCCAGACGTGGTGGACGACGAGAGACAGCGCCCTGGGCTGAATGTGGCTCGTTGCGACCTCACTTCCCAAGCTTCTGGACTTAATTCGCAAGAATACCTTTTCCGTGTCAACGTTCGCTGATAGATGTGTTGTAGTTTTTGTTCGAAATGATGGTAGAAAGTATTGAAATTCGAGGTGCAGGGTGGGACATGGACCAAGTTTTAGGAGAATCATGTTCGTGGTCATGGGCTACTTGGACACTTTTGGGCTAGCAAAGAATGAAGCACATCAACCGGTTGAGGCTGTATTGTTGGATTTGTTGCGAGTCCATCAGGTGGTGTTTGCATTACTCGTTGCATATTGCAGCTCCCGTGGCCTTGCATGGTGTTTGCCGGCTGCTGCTACCGCCGCCTGCTCCGCTGCTACTGGCTTTGTTGATGCTGTTCTTGCCGGCACGCCCCTCAACAACAACGGGGTTTCAATTCGATTCCATCGGGTACAGTGTTTGAAGATGCTGCCTTTTTTTTCAGAAGATGTGGTTTGTAAAGCCCATGCGATTTCCCGAGGCGAGTGCTCTTTCTCGTCTTCGCAACAAGCAAGTCGTACGTTGCGTTTCCATGTGGTTTCACCATGTGCGCCATCACCTTGCATCATACCAAACAGAGCTGTGATCGTTGCGATTCCATGGGGATGAGCATGGGATGAGCTTCCGAGTGCTGCAAAAACACGACTTCTTGGATCTTGCGTTTCCACGAGAGAAAGTATAATCTGGACAGCTTAGGGCGACTTTAGCGGGTCCCTGTAGGGTGCTTCACTCAATCAGAATCCAGACTCGCAAGAAACACCTTGAGTTCACAATGTGACCGGCTCAGTCGCCCACAAGGGGCGCAAGAGCTTTTCACTCCGCGCTCAATTCGCGCGCTCACGTCTCGGGGCGTGCCAGGCGCTTGGAGTGGTTCAAGGCCGGGCTGCAGCGCATCGCGGAGTTGCCCGTGGAGAGCATCGCTTTCCCCTACCAGTGCCTTGGGCGATGCTTAATTACGGTGGCGTGCCATGAATTTGGCATGACCTCCCCGAAAAAGAGAGGGAAACAAGTGCGGAACGCTTCCAACGAACAAATGGGAAACTCACTTTCAGTCAAAACTATGTTTGGCAACGCCCGGGTGCATGAAGGGAGGACAAACTCACCCTGATGGAGGGACTGCCATGTTGGATGTCCCAGCCATTTCTCTCTCCACAGCGCCTGTTACTTGATGATACGCATCACGTTGCAAGGCGTCGCCTATCTCCGACCCACCTTTTCAAGGCTGACCTTTCTCCTGTCGGTCGTTCTTTCTCGTGTTGTCGTAGTCCAAGAGTGATTCTCAAAGTCGAAGCATGCCAACAGTATCCAACCCTTAAACAAATATGCCTCTAGGCTTTAAGTGGGAAGTTGAACATCCTTGAAGCTGATCCTTAAAAGTCACTGTGAAATCACTGCCAGGATCGGGTGCGGCTTGGCGGGCGGGCGGTGGCCCAGCTACCTTGAAGCCTTGGAGGAGTTTGCGGCCAAAGTAGAGCCGCAGGGAGTGAAGGTGAAGATCTACAAGATGGAGGAGGCGTGGAAGAAATGGTTTATGGCGGTCTCAGCGCTTTGTTGGGGCGCCCAGTCGGCCAGTCTCAGCGGGCTCGAAAAAGGAAGCTGTCTAATTTTGCTTGCACCGAAGACAATCATGCGTGCATCCCAGAATCCGGTTGTTAGAACTCATTTTATCAGTCACCCAAAAAAAGTTGGAGATGGTGGAAGCCGTGCTTTGAATGTCGCTTAACGTGAGTTGGACCCTGCTCCATGGCTTGTTGGTTCCAGGCACTCATCGAAGCATGCTTGGTTGGTCTAGGTACCAGCTGATCGCGGACCTTTTTGGGGTGTTTGTGGCTTGTCCCCGCTCAGGCAGCCAAGCCTTGCACAGATTGCAAGCAGCTGGTTGCTCCTGGGACCGGCCGCACATGGAGATCAAAGCAGTATTGCGCCTTGTGCAATTCTTGTCGCTGTTGGTGTCATTGTTATCGTTGGTGTTGCTGTTGGTGGGGCTGTCGCTGGTGTTGTTCTTTGGTTATTTGTCGGTTGGTTGTTTGTTGGTTGGTTGGTGCCATTGCCGTTGGCGCATCGAACTTGCACATATCACATAGCACTGGATCAGTGGGCGAGGGGTTTTGCACTGGTTGCACTCTCTCAGATGAAGATGCCCTAGGCAAGGGATGCTACGACAAATATTGAATCAAGAGACGCTAACGAAAAATATTGAGTCAACATCAGCAATACGTAGTTGATACAACACAACCTAGATATTATATATAATTATTTGTACATCTAAGGCAAAGACTTTTTGAGGGGTCTGTAGCAGAGCCTTGGCGGACATTCGTTATGTTTACAAACCTTTTGAATAAGATTTGTTGGTTCGTAAATATAATGCTATTAATTATTTGTTGTGTTGTTTTATGATAGTGTTAAATTGAATGATGATTTTATGTGTGTTTAACGAAATGAATTGTTGCTGTCGTTGCCGTTGCCGTTGCTGTTGCTGCCGCCGCCGCCGCCGCCGCCGCTGCTGCTGCTGCTGCTGTTGTTGTTGTTGTTGGTTTGTTTGTTTGTTGGTTTGCTTGTTTCTTTGTTTGTTTGTTTGTTTGTTGTTGTTGTCGTCGTCGTCGTCCTTGTCGTTGTCGTTGTTGTTGTTGTTGTGGTTGTGGTTGTGGTTGTGGTTGTGGTGGTGGTGGTGGTGGTGGTGGTGGTGGTGGTGGTGGTGGTGGTGGTGGTTGTGGTTTGTGGTTGTGGTTGTGGTTGTGGTTGTGGTTGTGGTTGTGGTTGTGGTTGTGGTTGTGGTTGTGGTTGTGGTTGTGGTTGTGGTTGTTGTTGTTGTTGTTGTTGTTGTTGTTGTTGTTGTTGTTGTGTTGTTGTTGTTGTTGTTGTTGTTGTTGTTGTTGTTGTTGTTGTTGTTGTTGTTGTTGTTGTTGTTGTTGTTGTTGTTGTTGTGGTTGTTGGTTGTTGGTGGTTGGTGGTTGGTGGTTGTTGGTTGTTGGTTGTTGGTTGTTGGTTGTTGGTTGTTGGTTGTTGGTTGTTGTTGTTGTTGGTTTGTGGTTTGTTGTTGGTGTTGTTGTTGTTTGTTGTGGTTGGTGGTGGTGTTGTTGTTGTTGTTCTTGTTGGTGTTGTTGTTGTCGTTGGTGTTGTTGGTGTTGTTAGTGTTGTTGGTGTTGTTGGTGTTGTTGGCGTTGTTGGTGTTGTTGTTGTTGTTGTTGTTGTGGTTGGTTTGTGGTTTGTTGTTTGTTGATGGTTGTTTGTTGATGGTTGATTGTTGTTTGTTGAATGTTGTTTGTTGTTTGTTGTTTGTTGTTTGTTGTTTGTTGTGTGTTTTTTGTTGTTTAAATAATAGAAATTGGAATTTAATATTGAATTATTTTGATTTTAAATTTTATTATTGATTGTTATTTTGTTGTTATTTTATGGTTTTAAGTTTTGAAATGGATATTGATTTTTTAGCCGATTATTATTAATATATAAATAAAAATTGAGGATATTTTGAACCTAATTTTTAAATGTGTATTATTAATACATAAATAAAAATTGAAATAATTTTTTTTTTTTAGTTTTATATTGCAAATCTTTTTGGTAGTAGTGATGGTTGGGAAATGTTGATTGGGTTTATTTTGGGATTTATGTTTAACCATTGAGGATGTTTTGGTTTTAAGTTTGTAATGTTGATGGTATGAGTGGTATGATGGATCTTGATGGTAGCTAAGTAATTGGTTAATGCTATTTATTTTCTTTTTTTAAATTGTTAGGGATTATGTTTAATATAGATTTTTATTTTTTGTTAGGGCGTTGGGTAGGTTGTAATATAAGTGTTACAAGTATGTAATTGTTAGCGATATGGTGGATGGAGGATTATCTCTAACATAGGTACTATTTTTTACTAGGGTCGTTGGGCAGAGATGTTTTAGACGAAGTTCCTGCTTTTGGTTATATTTGATGGTATATTTTAGTCGGGCGCGGCGTACTTAGCTTAAGAATATGGAAAGGTTTTAAAATCTACCCATGCTATTATCTAAGGGTCGGCATATTCTTAGCAAATAATGTGTGGATTTCATGATGAGCATGGGATATTTCGCGCTCAAGTTGAGGGCGCCTTGCTTTGGAACCCCTTATATCGGGTATTCGGATTATAATTGTTATAGACCTCTAGAAATGGTAGTTTTGTTTAAATTCACCAGTAAATTAATTTATCGGAGTGGTCGGCCATTGGCATATTGATTTGCGGAGTTCTTCCAGGTCCTATATTTTTTGCCACTCCTTAAAAAAAAATGTATGTTAGGGATGATTTACCCATCTATATTTGTTTACGACCATGAATTAGAATATTTTCTCTTTTTTTCATTTTATGCTTTAATTTTGTTATTCTCTTGCCATAGGCTTCATTTCGCACGCTGCTAGAAAGCAGCGGGCCCCCGTTAGTTTACTCTATAAAACGAAACTTGTTCGTCGTATTTGCACACGAAGACTTGTCACATCTTGCGGAATCCTGATCACTCTGAGCGGATAAGGTGTCACTGCTTATGGAAATGCAAATGTCACTACTTACGGAAATGAAAATGTCACTACTTACGGAAATGAAGCCACTACACGCGGAAAAGTATAGGGGTAGAAAAGTATAGGGGTAAGAAGCTCCTTTCTAAGGCTTCTTTCTAAGGCTCCTTTCTAAGGCTTCTTTCTAAGGCTCCTTTCTAAGGCTTCTTTCTAAGGCTCCTTTCTAAGGCTTTTTTCTAAGGCTCCTTTCTAAGGCTCCTTTCTAAGGCTCCCTTCTAAGGCTCCTTTCTAAGGCTCCTTTCTAAGGCTCCTTTCTAAGGCTCCTTTCTAAGGCTCCTTTCTAAGGCTCCTTTCTAAGGCTCCTTTCTAAGGCTCCTTTCTAAGGCTCCTTTCCAGGGCTCCTTTCCAGGGCTCCTTTCTAAGGCTCCTTTCTAAGGCTCCTTTCTAAGGCTCCTTTCTAAGGCTCCTTTCTAAGGCTCCTTTCTAAGGCTCCTTTCTAAGGCTCCTTTCTAAGGCTCCTTTCTAAGGCTCCTTTCTAAGGCTCCTTTCTAAGGCTCCTTTCTAAGTCCTTTCTAAGGACTCCTTTCTAAGGCTCCTTTCTAAGGCTCCTTTCTAAGGCTCCTTTCTAAGGCTCCTTTCTAAGGCTCCTTTCTAAGGCTCCTTTCTAAGGCTCCTTTCTAAGGCTCCTTTCTAAGGCTCCTTTCTCTAAGGCTCCTTTCTAAGGCTCCTTTCTAAGCTCCTTTCTAAGGCTCCTTTCTAAGGCTCCTTTCTAAGGCTCCTTTCTAAGGCTCCTTTCTAAGGCTCCTTTCTAAGGGCTCCTTTCTAAGGCTCCTTTCTAAGGCTCCTTTCTAAGGCTCCTTTCTAAGGCTCCTTTCTAAGGCTCCTTTCTAAGGCTCCTTTCTAAGGCTCCTTTCTAAGGCTCCTTTCTAAGGCTCCTTTCTAAGGCTCCTTTCTAAGGCTCCTTTCTAAGGCTCCTTTCTAAGGCTCCTTTCTAAGGCTCCTTTCGAAGGCTCCTTTCTAAGGCTCCTTTCTAAAAGCTCCTTTCTAAAGGCTCCTTTCTAAGGCTCCTTTCTAAGGCTCCTTTCTAAGGCTCCTTTCTAAGGCTCCTTTCCAAGGCTCAGAAAGCCGCGGCATTTGCACGGCTGATTTTGCAGTGCCCCTTTCAATTCTTCCGTATTCTGTTTCCCGGGGTCCACTGGAAAAAGTTTTTTTAGGCCTGTCTTGAATCGAAATTCCTTGGAAGTTGCTGGTGGGGGTATGCTTCGGGCACGCTTCAAAAACATTATTTGAGGACTCACAAGAACAAACCAAAGGTGTCATTTAACTCACCCCCTGAGTTCCGTGACTTTAAACTTTTTTGGGCTTAGACCATCCCAATTGTTTCGGGGGCCAGTTGGGGTTTTCAAAGGGGTGCTGAAAAGGGGTGCCAAAGCATAGTCTTTCCAGACACTGCCGATCATATGTTCTGCTCTGCCGCAGCGCGTTGTCGGCAGAAACTGCTATGATGCCGTTGCACATTGCCTTTCCAGTTCCCAGAGCAATTCCCCAAGTTTCCGACAGACAAAGCCAAAGTGTTTTAGATCATATTTCTTGCTCCCGAAAACAAGGCTTGGAGGTCGATGAGGTCCGAGGGGAAGTGGCCGTGGCGCAAGCTCACAGAGCCCGAGCGGGTCGCACGCCCGGTGCGATGGCAGCTGCCTGAAGCCTTGGCGCAGGCCGGTTTGGCGCATGAGGGCAGAGCAGTAGGCTTTTGGGTTTGAGGCGGTTCTGACAAGTACATGTTCAGCGGGTTTTGTCGACCATGTGCGCCCCACTTTATGCGCAAAAGAAAAAGCTCATTTGACTTCGGCCCTTGCTTCTCGAAGGCATGTCTCCAGAGGGGAATGGAAAGGGCAAGAAGCAGGGCAAGGCGCGGAACTGACAGTTGTCGCGCACGCATTCGTGCTCTCACGCTGGTGCTTCTACCGCCTTTTGGGGCTGTGTTCAAAGGAAAACCATACGAAACCATCATTCGAGGGTATCATGCATCACAGGTGAGCAAGAACTCTAGCCGTAGTGGAATGAGAAGCAGAAGCAACTGAACTCAGAAGCACGGGCGTCAGTGAGCAAGATCTCAGAACCTGAGCGTGGAATGAGAAGCAGAAGCAGCTGAACTCAGAAGCATGGGCGTCAGTGAGCAAGATCTCAGAACCTGAGCGTGGGATGAGAAGCAGAAGCCACGCATTTGTAGGAGCGCACGTTTGCGCACACATGGGTGGCCCCCAGGGAGACATCGATGTGGCCCATGATGCCCCCCTACATTTCTCTTGAAATCATGTATGTTGAGTAGAGCATTTCAAGTTCCTTTCTTACTAAGGCTCCTTTCTAAGGCTCCTGTCACATACACATACACATGTCAACGCAGAGGCCTTGTGTGACAGAAAAACTCAAGTATGCATAGAACAAAAGTGGCTACATATAGAAACCTGCAACCCTTTATTTGTTGGACATCGCTTTCCTGGATTCTCCAGATTTGAGCGGGCACCTATTGAGGAACTGTTTTTTTGTGCATGGGACTTGCTCGCATCACGCTCGATATTCTTCTGTTCTCTGTCTTGTAGTTTTTTCCATAAACATCTTTAGAAAAGAGCATCGTTTCCATCAGGCAATTTTCTACGGCGAGGCCTAAATTACTAAAGGATGCATTGTGGGCCAGTTGAAAGGTCGCCTTTGTCAGCTTGGAGCCTGAGGATATGCTGCAAGGCCTAGCGGCTCAAAGATTGTGGGTGCCATTAAACATGCAGGCTGCCATGACATTGTTGGGAAGACCCATGGACATGACAGACAAATCAAATGCAAGAACATCATATGGTTTGGAAGACACCCCTAGCAAGAAACAGAGAATTTCGCGAGTGTATTTCAACGATTTTCATGAGACGCATGAAGCTTTGATTGTGTGTGGCATTTCCGTTCATGGCACGACATATGAGCACATGGACGAGCCGCTTGAGGTTTTCCGATGTTGCATAGATGATCAACTTGGGTTAGGAAGGGCCATTGCAGCTCCGATATTGCATAGATGATCAACTTGGGTTGGGAAGGGCCATGGCAGAACCAAAGGCAAAGAAGCCTCGATACACTTATGTGCAGCTTGCAGAAGCACGCTACGACATGGATGACTGGAAGAAGGTACACACTGCAGTTGCAGCTTGCAGGCACGCTGTGCAGAAATGGGGATTCGAGCACCGGGACCACAAGTTTGGGCGCTTGGATTGCCCTTGGCCAACAGGTGGCAAGCTGGTCCAGACTGGACGCTGTGTTCGGTGCGACGAGTGCTACTCAGGCAAGGGCAAAAGGTACAGGTTCGAGGCGGTGATCTCGCCAGCGGCGGAGGAGGAGCCGGTGGACTCGTGGCGAGGCAGTTCCCTGCATTTGCGGGTACTCGAGGCTGGTGCGTGCACCAACAAGGCACGCGTGCTGCGACGAGGTAGCAGCTCGCCTGTCACAGTGGACAGCCGACAGCAGCTTCAAGCGCTCGCAGAGGAGCTTGAGGTCAAGGGCACGCAGGTGACTCCTTCAACAGTTGCCCGTGAGATGGGACCGGAGCTCCGCAGGCAAATGCCTCCGAGCCGAATGCGGTACCATCTGCGGAAATGGCGGCGGCCGCGCCAAAAGAGACGCGCCCCTGTGACAATGATGCGGGACTTCGAGGCCTTTGTAGCAGAACGGCAGACGTGGGACAAGCTTGTCATTTTCAAGCACATCGCCATGCAGGAGACGGTCGCGTCCTGGGTCATCCTCATTCCGCCTTTCTGGAATCTCTTGAGCCGCTTGAATCGTCATCAGCTTCTGGAGCCTCGGTCGCTGACAGCTGCAGCAGACGCGACGTGGAGAGTGGAGGTGGGAGGATGGACATATGCTGTTATAACAGCAACTCTGTACCGCCGCATTCGCGGCTGGTGGAGGAAGACTGCCATTCCTTTGGCAATCTGCCGCGCCTTGACTGCATTACGCGGACAGCTCTAATTGTTCCTTGAAGCCTTTTTTTTTTTGCAGCTGCCAGGGGTGGGAAGTGCAGTTGTGCAGCGTACAAAACCTCCATCGAAATGTCTATCAGGGACTCTGTCATATCGACCCGTAACGTAAGCAAAACCTGCACGGGCGTAAGGCGGCGTAAGCAGATGTTGAAAAACACGTCGCGTAAGCATTCCGCGTAAGCTGTTGTTCAGTCATGTTTTGTGTCATGTCAATGTGTTTCTAATCAGCCCGAGAAGAATCGCATCAGGGAGCATCAAACCAGTATAGATGTTGCAAAGTAAGTAAAGCTGCCAAAGGGTGTTCTGCAACAGGACCTGCCTGCGGAGGAAACGACCGCTGCGCGAAATAATAAGGCATCTTCAATCAAGTCTCCCTGTTTGAAGGGAAACCCTCAAGTACCTGGTTTCAGAAGGCATCCAAAGGGAAGCCGGGTACATGAGGGTCGACTACCACTACTACTACTATTATTACTATTGCTATTGCTACTGCTACTGCTACTACTGCTAGTGCTACTACTACTACTACTACTACCACCACTACTACTACTACTATTATTACTACTGCTACTGCTACTGCTACTGCTACTGCTACTGCTACTGCTACTACTACTACTACTACTGCTACTACTGCTACTACTACTGCTACTACTACTACTACTACTATTACTATTACTACTACTACTACTACTACTACTACTACTACTACTACTACTACTACTACTACTACTTCTACTTCTACTACTACTACTACTACTACTACTACTACTACTACTACTACTACTACTACTACTACTACTACTACTACTACTACTACTACTACTACTACTACTACTACTACTACTACTACTACTACTACTACTACTACTACTACTACTACTACTACTACTACTACTACTACTACTACTACTACTACTACTACTACTACTACTTACTACTACTGCCTCTACTTCTACTTCTACTTCTAGGCATGGCTCCCGCAGCCAGTCTGAAACAGTCTGAAGCCATACAAAAGCAGGGCGCATGCCGGCCCCTGCCAATTATTACTACTTCTACTACTACTACTACTATTATTACTACTGCTACTGCTACTGCTACTGCTACTACTACCACAGTCGGCTCTTCTTCGTCATCTTCCTCCACAAGCTTCTTCTTCGTGACCTTCCGCCGTGCTCCCGCTCTCCGTAGCCGAGCGTAAAAAGTGCGTTGAGCTCCTCCTTGTCGCGTAGGCGGCATAGGCTGTCTAGTCAGCTCGGTCTCGCGTAGGCGTTTTTTGTGGGGCTGCTGTGTTTCGCGTTTTGGTAAGCCCCGCTCTTGGGAGCTGGAAGGGCCCAAAGCCGGAGACGACAATGCGTTGACTTGCAAGGTCGCTGCAGTGAAGCTGTTCTTCTTCCTCTGCATCTTCCTCCACGGGCGGGCTCATCTGCGTGAAAGGAAAAAGTGCTCGCGTAAGCCGCCTCTCTGGCGTAAGGGACTGCGTAAGGCCTACTTGAAGCCTATGTGCCGCGTAAGCGAATTTACGGTGCGCGTAAGGCTGCGTAAGGAAGCGGCGTAAGAAGAGGGACGCGACATAGGGAATCACGACACGTTTTGGACGTGGCTCAGTTGGTCAGATTTTGCACTTGCTGCTTGTGGCAGGACATCGCGCAGAGCTCGCAGAGCTGTATGCCAGCGGCTTCAAAGCAGTCACTGCCGAGCAGAAGCGCCGCGAGCTGCCTCTTTTTGCGCAGTGCCACACAGACTGGTACTACTCCGTCGGGGACGAGTTCCGAAAGTGCCAGCCACAAGCGCGCGTAGTACATGGCCTTGAACATCTCAGGCGCAATTTGCGCAAAAAGCAGGTGCGGACAAGGCAGGGCATCACCACCAGGAACCCCAGACTGACGAAGAGGCCCATTGAGGGGGCCATCAAAATCATCAACATGGCAGCTGGCATGCCGACTCTCACCATGTTCAATCTTGTCATCACCACCATGCTGCAGCGGGCGCGCTACATATGGCAAGAAGAAGCATGGGCTGCCTTCTTCGAGCGTCAATACCTTCGCCGCGGCAAGGTCTCCGAGGAATACGGTGTCACGGAGGCATACAGTGCGACATGGTGGCACGGGATCGGCAGTTGGGTAAGCCCTGGGCACGGTCCGAGCCAGCAAATGGCAGAACAGATGAATGGCCACTTCAAGAGGCTGATGGGCAAGTGTGAGCAAGAGACGCAAATGGATACTGTGCGGCGGATTGAGAAGGCCATTGCTCTGTGGGCGGCTGAGCCGACTGGCGAGGAGAGCGATTACTCCCTCATGGCGCCGCTAGGAGATTTGTCCACATCCCCGCGGTCGCCAGATGATTACATGCTGACGGACGCCCTTCACTCTGTATACAATGCTGACTTGGGACGCAATGAAACGCTGCCTGGCATCTTCAGAGTGTTGGAGGCGCACCGCCTCAACGAGGGTCGTACCATCTCCACCAGGAAGGTTGGGAGGGTCACCATGCACCTCATGGCGGTCGGCGCGCCGCAGGAGTTGGACCCTGCTTTGAGCGCCAGGCTGTATAAGGAGCTCCACGCCAAGCGCTTCAGCGACTCGCTAGGTCAAAAACGATTTTTTTGACCTTTTCGTTGTCCAATTTCCTCTTGGCTTAGTGGGGGCTCTGAAAGATTGACCTTCTATTTCCTGGTCCTTTGGGATACCAAAAGGCGATCTGGAAAAGCTTTGGCGAGCATCGGGCGTGCTGATCCCTGTGGAGAACGAGCAGGCTCCCAACAAAGTGGTCTCCAAGGCTCTGCTGGGCAGCTGGCATGCCTACTGCGTGGTGCGGGTACTGCGCCCGCAAGAGCCCATCTCAGGCCCTAACCCGGGTAATCCCGAATCCCCTCAGGTCACGTGCTCATGCTTCTATTCCAGAAGGAGGGGGCATTGCCCACATGCCTATGCCATATCGCAACTCGAAGGCCTGCGGCGTTTTGCAGTGTTGATCCCGCAGGCTCCACGCAGAGACGAAGCAGATATGCAAGCTGAGGCGGGCTCTTCGGCAGATGAGGGGCCGCTGGCAAGACCGCCCCGGCGGCAGCCTGCCGCTGCAAAGGCAAAGGCCAAGCAAAGCAAGCGTCAGAAAATGCTGCGGAGGCCAAAGCTCCAATATGCCAGACGCTCTGATAGCGCTGCGCCGCCCACCCCCAGAGTTCAGCCTGAGGAGTTTCTGGACGCAGCGGATGTTATCCCTCAGCCCAAGATTTTGCCCCCGCAAAAAGCGGCTCGAGGCCCCTTCGGCCGCTGAAGCAGTGCGTGCTGGGGGCCTGTGCTGCTGAGGCTTCTGTGCCGGAGTGCATCAGACACCAAAGCTCGCGGAAGAAATGTTCATGTGCAAGGAAGAGGGTGTATATGGTTAACCAGTTCTTATGACTAGTTTTATCACTGTTTTTTACACAGCCTTGCAAGGACGCTGTAAATTCGCGGATGCCGTTTTTCAAGCCCCAGAAGCCGCTCTTCCATGCCAGCAAAAATAGGGTCCGGGTGCGTCTCAAGATGGAATTGGGCCCCCTAAAAAGGCAACGGTGTCCTTGTAGTTTCCCTTGCAGCATCCAACAGGTTTGGCTCCCTTTGGGACAGACCCTTAACTTTGTATCCCATGCTTTTCCGAAAACGAACCGGGGACCCCCCTAATGCTAAAAACGGTTTTTGCGGGGGGGACCCACTTAGTATTAGGGGGGGGGTGGGGGAGGGGGGGGGTGAGACCCAATGCCCGGGTACCTTATCCCCAAAGGGTACAGGTCCCGTGTGGTGGTAGTGGTTCTATTGGTGGCCCCCTGGATCTATTCCGCAAGGAAATCCAATGTGTCAACGGTGGATTGATTGTGGATGGATAGTCCTGGTAATAATGGTTGTTATAGTACCTGGGAAGCGGTCTGCGACTCCTTTTTATGTATATACCATGAGTCGATTGACTATGTACAAGAAAGGGCCAAAAGCCAAATGGTTGCGTGGTGATCAAGCATGTAAAACAACCGCGGGGGGGGGGCGACGTTTAGTATTAGGGGGAAGGGATTAATGGGTGTGTCGCTTTTGTTCAGGGCCCCCCTTGGGGTTTTAGAGGGAAACCGAAAGGCAAGCTGCGTGTCTTTCAAAGGGGAAAGCTGCAAAATTGGCTTCGGTTTCTATTTGATTTCTTGAGACTTCGCCAAGAAAGAGAACCCTCAATCAGCGTGTAATTCCAGGCGTAGAGGGCAGTGAAACATCGGTTTCCCACCTTCTCCTCTCACTCTTCCTACAGACTGTTTGATTTGCGCTGCTAGGATACTATCCCAGATAGCTCGCATGACGACCTGGACGCAATGATTGAGAAGCAGGCACGCGCGCCCACCGTGGGCAAGTGGAGCGCTTTCCTTGCAGACCCAGAAATCGCGATCTCGTTGGCTAAGTCATGTCACGTTCCCTGGACCACATGCTTCAATGAGATCACCAGCCAGACGGCCAGGAGCAGCTGCGGCAGAAGGGTCTCCCGAGCAACGGCACCAAGAGCGAATTGGTTGTCTGCGCCTCGAGAATACTTGAAGCAGTGCGGCGGGCGCTTGCCAGCAGGAGCGGTTGCTCGCGCAGCAGGAAGACACGGGATTGCTATGGCCAACGCAGGCGCGGCCACTGGAGCACATTGCTGGGCCCTTCTTAAGAACCCCGCCCCCACTCGGAAGGAAGCCTTCTCACGGGCTTCTTAGGGCTTCCTGAGAAGCGGTTTTTGAGATCGCAGAAGCATTTCCAGAGGCTTCGCAGAAGGGGTTCTGCCACTTCTAAGCAGCAGCCCCTCTTTTAAGAAGACGCCCTACCGACGCCACCCTGGGCCGACTCTCTTCTGCACTGTGGAACTCCCTTGAAACTGTTCCTTGGGTTGCTTCGGTTTTAGTTGTTTCCCTTCTCTTGAAACTGTCCCTTGGGTTGCTTCGCTTTTAGCTGTTTCGCTTTTGTGCGCTGTGGAACTCCCTTGAATCTGTCCCTTGGGTTGCTTCGGTTTTAGCTGTGTCGCTTTTCCACAGTGCTTCAGCTGCCAAGGCTGCGGACCCGGAGGCCGCAGCACCTGCATTGCCAGTGCCCCAGTCGGTTTTTTCGGCAATGCGTGGCTGCACGGAGAAGCTGGACAAGGGGCACATTGCGAAGAACGAGTGGGGGGGGAGCTTGTTCCATGCCGGCATTGCCGGTCAACTTTGTGCTTTTGTGCGCCAGGTCTCCAGAAGACGTGGTGAGCCCGGTCATAAATGAGGCGCCAGGGCGGGCCTTTTTCTCCCAAGCCGCATCCTGCTCATGTCTTGCTTGCCAGTGTTGGGAATCTGCCTATTTTGTAGCCAAGACGTGGCTGGAAAGAGCTGCGCCTCGTGTGAAATTGTTCGAAGATGACCCAGGAGCGGAAGGCGCTACAACTTTGCACTGCCGCGGAGCTGAAGGACATTATTGGTTATTTTCAGAATCTTGTGGTAACAAATCGCTTGTTGCCCCAAGGAGAAGCTGATGAAGAAGGGCTTGTCCTGCAAAGGCCGCAAGAGCGAATTGCTCGTCGGCTTCTCAGATCTGTCCGCTTGCAAGGGATACGGGGTGGTGTGGGTGCCCAGTGTTTCCAGTGCTTGGCGAGGATCGCCTCCTTTCGAGACCGGACACGCAGGCACGTAAGTTACGGGCACGTTAGTTAGCTCCGCCGCGGGCTCGCTGCGTGCTACTCCGTTGCAGGACAGTGAAGCGCACGAAGCCAAGGACTGGCTTGGCGATTCCCTCACGAGTTTTCTTCTTTGCTGTTGGGAAACTTGTACGGCTTGCATGCAGAGCTGCTGGGCTTGACCCTTCCATTTGCACGTGAAGCCACGCATTGGTGCTGGAGCTTCGGGTCAGGACAGGCCCCTTTCAAGACCGGCCACGCAGGCGCCGGTGTATCCAGTACGGGTTGCCTGCCTGTTGTATGGCCGCAGGACAGTGACCTGTCAGAGCTGTTTGAAGCTGAGGGGCAAGAGGACTGGCCTTGCAATTCTTCATGGTGTCATGTTTCACTTCCGTGTCATTTTCAGGAAAGCGGCATGGCTGGCAGAGCTGCTGGGCTTGTGGCCTCCAAGGCCGCAGCTCATTTCATAGCTGTTTCCCTTTTGTGCACTGTGGAACTTCCTTGAAACTGTCCTTAAGCTGCCAAGGCTGCGGACCCGGAGGCCGCAGCACCTGCGTTGCCAGTGCCCCAGTCGGTTTTTCGGAAATGCGCGGCTGCACGGAGAAGCTGGACAAGGGGCGCATTGCGAAGAACGAGTGGGGGGGGGGCTTGTTCATGCTGGTGGCATTGCCGGTCAACTTTGTGCTTTTGTGCGCCAGGTCTCCAGAAGATGTGGTGAGCCCGGTCATAAATGAGGCGCCAGGGCGGGCCTTTTTCTCCTAAGCCGCATCCTGCTCATGTCTTGCTTGCCAGTGTTGGGAATCTGCCCATTTTGTAGGCTGCAAAGAGGCTGCGCTTCGTGTGAAATTGTCCGAAGATGACCCAGGAGCGGAAGACGCTACAACTTTGCACTGCCGCGGAGCTGAAGGACATTATTTGTTATTTTCAGAATCTTGTGGTAATAACTTGTTTGTTGCCCCAAGGAGAAGCTGATGAAGAAGGGCTTGTCCTGCAAAGGCCGCAAGAGCGAATTGCTCGTCGGCTTCTCAGATCTGTCCGCTTGCAAGGGATGCGGGGTGGTGTGGGTGCCCAGTGTTTCCAGTGTTTGGCGAGGATCGCCTCCTTTCCAGACCGGACACGCAGGCACGTAAGTTACGGGCACGTTAGTTAGCTCCGCCGCGGGCTCGCTGCATGCTACTTCGTTGCAGGACAGTGAAGCGCACGAAGCCAAGGACTGGCTTGGCGATTTCCTCACGGGTTTGCTTCTTTGCTGTTGGGAAACTTGCACGGCTTGCATCCAGCACGGGTTGCCTGCCTGTCGTATGGCCGCAGGACAGTGACCTGTCAGAGCTGTATGAAGCTGAGGGGCAAGAGGACTGGCCTTGCAATTCTTCATGGTGTCATGTTTCACTTCCTTGTCATTTTCAGGAAAGCAGCATGGCTGGCAGAGCTGCTGGGCTTGTAACCTCCAAGACCGCAGCTCATTTCATAGCTGTTTCCCTTTTGTGCGCTGTGGAACTCCCTTGACACTGTCCTTAAGCTGCCAAGGCTGCGGACCCGGAGGCCGCAGCACCTGCATTGCCAGTGCCCCAATCGTTTTTTCGGCAATGCGTGACTGCACGGAGAAGCTGGACAAGGGGCACATTGCGAAGAACGAGTGGGGTTTGTTCATGCTGGCGGCATTGCCGGTCCACTTTGTGCTTTTGGGTCTCCAGAAGATGTGGCGAGCCCGGTCGTAGATGAGGCGCCAGGGCGGGCCTTTTTCTCCCAAGCCGCATCCTGCTCATGTCTTGCTTGCCAGCGTTGGGAATCTGCCCATTTTGTAGCCAAGACGTGGCTGGAAAGCTGCGCTTCGTGTGAAATTGCCCAAAGAGGCAAATGCGTGCTTGTGGTGAAGGGTGCTAGGGAATGGCCTATTGTCCTAGGCAGCCAAAAGCCTAATGCTGCTGGTCTCCCTTTCA